TCTTAATGAGAGAAACAACCTGTGTATGCTAGAGAAATGTTGCCTCCCCATTTCCTCTGAATCAATCCCTTCAAAATGTGATTTAATCTTCCGGCGAGGCCATCTCAAATTTAAGCTTAGTGCAGCAAGCAAATATTCACATAAAGTATCCTATGCACTGCCTGCCATAAATAAAGTAGTGTGATTCTAATTAAGAGAGAGATGCCCGTGTTTTCTGTGTTAGGTATTATTACAGAGAAAGAAGAAAAGATCTTGTATTGGACAGTAAAAATCTAGCCATAGCTGTCAAAAGAGGATCTGACATGTACCAAATAGTTCAATACATCTGGATTCTTCTTTAGTGCCAAGTTGCTATTTTTGTTGTTACCTTCTTCTACAGTGCATGAGTCACAAACTGGAAAAGAAATGTCACCCCAACACAACACCTGAATGAAGACATATGACTACAGTGTGGGGGGAGTGAACCCTCCACTGGGACAGCAAAGGATACTAGTAGAATGGATAGCTGGGAAACCTGGATTGAACTCTTTGGAAAATCATATTTATCTTACTTATCATGATCCACCCATTAGGACTGAATATGTCATCTTTTGTGTGGGTCTTCTTCCTTTTGTCTCTCGCAATTTAGACAGAAGAATCAGCCATGCTCTGACAGACCAGTAGCCAGCACGTTTTTCAGAAACTCTATTAAAAAAAAGTATTATTCTGACTACGTCACAGTGTAACAGTGGTGAGAAGAACCTTTCAGCTGGGAGGGCAGCACAGATTATTTTCTCCAGGTTTCAGCATCTGTGTTACTGCCATCAGTTCTGATTTTATGAATGCAAACCACCAACCTCTTCTTCCATCAAATAACTACTTTGTGAGAGCAGGACTACTCTAATTAATGCCAATATGGATCAGGATCACTTCCAAAACACCAAATCCAGGTCTGCTACTAGTAACACCAAGTCTCTAAAGCTACATGAAGAAAATTGGAACCCAAATGTGATGTAACAGTTTTTAAACTACAAACTATCGCTTTATTTCTCAAGCACCTTGGGATACAACTGACATGGGCTTGCATCTGTATGAATCAAACTATGATTGAAAGGAGCTATGAAGAGAAGCCTTTAGTGCAGTACAATTGCTCTGTGTGCACAAAAGGTGATTGGCCATGGGGACAAGGTCAGATGGCTCTGAACAGGAAGCTATGTCAACTCCCAAATACTGGAAGCAAGAGATTTAAGTGAGATACATTGGAAAGATATGAAAGGCCAGTTTTCATCTTTTCATATTTGCTGTGCTTCTCCTTTGATCAGATCATTTTGGCTCTAGCCACTGGTACATACAAGGATCTGTAAATTTCGTTTTTCAGCTCTGGTGCCAGGAATCAAGGTTTTGAGTTGTAAGCTGCAACACAGCATACTTAAGAATAAACACAAGGTCTTCTGGCCAGCTTGTTGCCGCAGGGTTATAGTCTAAGACTTTGCAGGAACATGTGTTTGTTCAGTGCCTAATATGATAGCATGATTTGACTGGAGCTGCATCAGTTATGTGTATATATATATACATACATATATATATATAGTTCCTCTTATCATCATGCAGTTCCCTGAAGTGCCACTGATACAACTGAGTGTCAGGAGGAATGGAAAACAAGAAGCAAAGATTGCCTTACTTGGAAATAAAATTCAGGCCCAGAGAGGTACAGTGTGGTGACTGGAAAATTTACAGGCTCCCTGTATTTTCTCAGGAGGTAAATTAAGAATAAGGCAGGCTTTTCAGTCCTTTCTGCCAGCAGCCAGCATCTTGGCAAAACGTACCTGCTATGGACTCCAAAAAACTGGGAATGGCTGAGAAGGGGAGCTATCAGAGGCTATACACCAGCTTTACTACTGAGTCAATCACCCAGAGAGACTCACAGATCACTATTTGAAGGACTTGAAGTCATTAAAATTTGTAAAGACAGACTCACCTGAATAAAGATTACTGAAATGCCACTGTGGGTTTGTGTGGCTCCAGAAGAGCTCCAGATCTAATGGCTCCATATCTAATGTGCAATCTACAATTATACTTTCTAATTCCTAACTTTGTGCTAGAAGCTGGAGGGCTTTCCAGTCTGTGTATTATCTTGATTTTCTGTTTTGTTTTTTTTTTTTAATGTAAGGGCTCTGCAGAACCTATTAGAATCTCATTGTCAATTATATAACCTATACAGTGAGATAGACATAAATACCAGATTAGACAGTAGTAAACACTTCTCTCCATCCTGCCTCAAAAGAAACAGAATCCAGCTTGCTCTTTTATAGCTGTATTGCCTTTATAAGGCTTAACTGCAGTACATAAAAAGGTAAAGCTTATTTATCACTAAACTGATTTGGTTCTGAATATGCACAAAGAATAGATCTGCTAAGTCAGAAGGTATCACTCCTGAAGGCAATTTTCAGGTTACAGCTGCACTTTAAATGTAAAGGTTTTAATTTTTACAAGGTAAGTTTAATCTTATGAACAGATATTAAAGACTTGATCGAAATCAGTTTAGTCTTTCTGACAACAGAAATGTCCCCTGCCCTGCTGAAATTGTCGGAAAGATAAAATCAAATACTCCACACCAACATGTATTTCAGCTTTAGTATGAACCAAATTATTTTTTTTCTGTTGTGAAATAATAACAGTTGGCAATTTTCTAGTGTGCACAGGTAGGGTTTATAGAGCTGTTATGTTATTTGGATATTGGCAGCTCCTATGTCATACCTCTGCTGTTCAACATTAACTTTTTTTTCAGTGCCAGTGGCTATATGCAAAGTACTTCTCAGATTGATAACCACTGCTAGCAGAAGAAGAGATAACATTTAAAGGACTAAATAAATTTGCCTCGCTGTTAATTACAATACTCAATGGTTTATAGTGGGTGAAAAGATATTCCTTATTCCCACCAGGGCTTTCACATGGCTGAGCCAGGTGTAAGGCATCTGATTAGCTCTTCCTGCTCCAGTGTTAACTCTTCTAAAAAAAGGCCCCCTGAGATCAAAACCCCACATAGTATAGTTTTTCTTACACTGTTTGTTATTACTACATGAACAATGTGTTAACTTCACTGAGGGTGCCCTGTTCTCAAAGTCATAGAAGACAGTTTGCCAATAATAGGCTAAATGCATCGTTCCTTTTCAATCCCCTCTCTAAACTGTGGGTGAGCTATCCTGCACATGAAATAGCTTTTCACTCCTGTAGGAGGGCGGAATTCAGCATGGTGCAGTCACCACTGCTCATGTTGTATGTGAGTACATGAACAAGAATGTGTTTTAAAGAAAGCAGCTCCATTAAACCCCATACATATACATATGTGTATATATATGTGTTCTGTCTGTGGTGTAGCTGTCACAAAATAGTCTTCCTGCTGGCCTTCAACTTGTTCTCTATGTCCCTTGTTGGATTGATGCTGACACTGTGACAGCTGGAGGGCCTGCCTGAACTGGGAGTGAGCAAGAACGCTCTCAATCTAGAGGACACAGAGTACTGGCTGGTTATCTGTGTGGCTTAATTAACTTCCAAGCAATCAGAAGAATCAGCATTTCAGTATTTTCGTATGATGTGAATGCCAGATCCAGGCAAGAAACAAAGTCTTGAGGGAGAAGAAGGATTTGCTGTCTGATGCCTTCAGGAAAAAGCTGGAGGTCTGCCTACAACTTAAATGAGTCTTCATGAGGAGATCTGAAATGGTATAACTCAGAAAACTCTAACAAGAAATTGAATGAGTTCCCTTCAGAGCAAAGGGAAAACTCCCACCAACAAAACTGCAACTTAAGGGAAAGAGATCATCTGAAATACAGGAAACAGGCTGAATTTTATCTCAGTAGCATATGCTAAACCTAATAGCATCTCCACTGGGACAACTTTCTTTTGTTGTTACAGACTCCGCAACAACTCCAAAACAACTTTCCTCAGTTTACAAAGAGATGGCGCAGGAGTTGCAGGGCCAGCTGGAGAATGGTACTATCTCGGTTATTGCTTCCTCAACAGCTTGTGTTCCCTTTCACAGAGATGTCTGAATTCAACCTAGGTACCAGAATGAAAATCTAAAGAGAACAGAGTTCTCTTGTACAGAACCTTTCTGTACAAGATATAAGTAATAAGACAAAACCCTCTCTTAAAGTATTTGGGTATTTCCACTACTGTATTTGGAGGAGTCAGTAGGGGCACAGGTAATGAAAGAAAGAATATATTCCAAGTGTGGATAGAGGGGAGGGAAGGCAAGGGACAAGTTAATCAAAATTCACAGAACCCCAAGCAAGTTGAGCTACAAGTTTTGCAGAAAACTATTTTTTTTTTCCTCATTCCTAGCAAAATACTGAATCTGCAGTAGGTCCACTACTCTCCAGATTAGAGATACAACATCCTTCCCCAAGACCAGGCTGTAACTGTGACAATTTACACTAGCTAAGTGCTTGACAGATATATGTAGTGTGTCTTATGGAAGATTTAAAAGGGTCTTACCCCAAGGATATATGGGGAAGAAGGGAGTGGATGCAAACCAGAATTAAATAATATAGCAATCCCGTCTCAATAAAGAGCAGGAAACCAAGGGAGACAGCAGTTACAAGGGCAGCATTCAGCTTCACTGCAGAAAAGGGACTGAAGAATCATGAATCAAAGGCATCAAGTAAACAAAAGCGGGGGGGGGGGGGGCAAGGGAGGAAAAGAAAACCACTGCCCCAGGTTATAGAGAGGGAGGGAATCTCAAGTGCAACACCACACACTTGTGCTATGAAGTGGAAAGCTGTGGTGGAGCCTGTGCACCTGTGCATGGATGGGGAGGAACAGAATAAGGGGTATATGCTTGTGCCCACCAGGTTAAGTGAAAGACATAGTGGGCTGTTATGGGGTGGGTACTCTTGAAGAGAGTGTGGGAGAGCAGGGATAGGGATGGGGAGCAGGAGGAGGGGACAGGACGGCGCATCATTATATTGCTCAGCAGGGGCTGGGGAAGGATAAAAGGCAGAAGGGAAGGAAGTTCTTACCACATTTGGAAAGTCTGCCAGTCATCAACTCCATACAGTTAGTGGTGTCTGGATCATAGAATGGAAAGAGGAGGGAGGGAGGGAAAAACATAAAAAAAGGTTTCCATACCTCTGTGCATAAAGTAGTAACTTAGCACATTATTACCTGAAGCAGGAAACATATACACATCTTGGTCTTTACACAACCCAGGCCAAATTCTGCCACCCATTGTATGCCAGTGCAAACCTGGCTCTGTGACTGAGTGTGGGCACTACTTTAGTACCACTGCTTCTACTCACCTCTTTATTATAGCTGTATGGATTTATGAGATGTGGGAAATACTCAGCTGCCACATTAGCACTAAAATACACTGAAAATACTGTTTCACTTGGTCAGCTTTACAAGTTAGCCTGCAAGAGCGAGGAAATGCCCAGCCAGCTGATTTATGTACACCAAAAACCTCAAGAGAAGGAAGAAATCAGTACTGTGCTATTGCATAAGCAATGAGAATGCTACTTACACAGCTCAAAACCATCTTTTAGACCCCAAAGAATAATAACTCTGCCTCTCATTCACCTGTAGTCTCTTACCCCTTTTGCTTTCAATGTCACTATTCGCAGGCAATTGAACTATTGAATTACTTCTGGTAGGGGTGGCAGAATCTAGCCCTAAGACATTCCTGTCCACTTTGTGTAGAGCTCCCAATGCCACAGACACTGAGTGCTTTTTACTCAGGAGCAATAAGCAGAAGGAGCTCTACATGGCAGCTTTAAAGCAGAAAGGACCAGTCCAGCTGGACACTTTCATGTGGAACCTGCTAGCAAGCCAGATCTGCTGCTGTCAGCCAGGATCCCCTTGCATTTGGGATCTAAGTCATTGCATCCGTGAGTGCTGGGAAATGCAGAGCACTCACTGCTGAGCAAGTGGCTAGCAGTTAAAGCACTCAGTTCAGTCTCAGATGTCCTCTTGCCTGGCCTCTTGATGAACACTTGGGTTTTCATGAAATGGGCTTCCTGGAAACATGCACACATATGCTGAAAATCAGCTCTTAACTACTCCCTATCTGCTGAAAAGTCTGCAGGAGAGAGGGATGAATAATTTCGTTGTATCCCTCCCCTTAAAAACTGAGAAAAGTAATTTCAAAAAAGGGGGGAAGGGGTGCTGGGTATGCTTCCGTAAGCTGAACCCATGCTAGAAAAGCATGGATGTGTATGTCTTCTGATGCAGCCATGTGTGTGCTGCACAGATCATCCAGGAAAGCATGGAGTAGAAAGGGCAGGTGCTCAGTCCAGTGATACTGGTCAAAGCATCTAAGCAGCAGCTATATACTCTCCATTTGGAAGGTTAGAGGAAAGAAGAGGTCAGTGGGAGATGACACCCATGGAAGGTTTCTCAGAAAGGCACAAGACTGAGAAGGAAAAAGGGGAAAAAGTAAGGAGGTGAAGGAGAAGAGAGTACTGAAGAAGTCGACAAGGTATCAGAGGTGTCAGGGAGGCCAGGAGTCCACCTGCCTTTGAAATTCTTTGGCTAGTCTGACTGAGTGAAGGCAGATTACACTCCCAAAATACATTTCTCCCTTAAGATGCCTAAAAGGTTTAAGAATTGCCTACAGCTGCCTATGAGGCAATTACTAGAAGTCACAGTCACGAGTTTGTATCATTATTTTTCTTTAATAAGTTGAAGAAGTTTGTGATCTCATGTGTTTTTGATCTCACGTTCCAGTCCAGCCTCTGAGTAAACTACACCTTCTTGTAATGCAGCGTAATACAGATCTGTAGTGGCAGAGCTCAAAGCATTCACCCAATCATTAGCAGAACTTATGATTTGAAAAAAACACATAAAAGCAAGGAAAGTCTCAAATATGACTGAAAGATTGTTTCTGACTCCCACCTCCAACACCTGAAATTTTCCCCTCAAGTATAACTAGCCATCTGGAAACAAAAAAGTAGCATTTGGAAAATGTCAGAGTAGGTAAACATTATGGTTGGTTTGCTAGGAGTCTCCTGAAACTGGTTTCTGTTTCCTTGTTAATTTTAACAAATTAAAAATAACCACATTTCCTGAAGTTAATAGTTCAGAACACTGTCTTTTTTCTAAGTCACTTGCAGTCAGCATAGCTCTTCTTAGTATTTCATTTCAAGCTAGTAGCGCAACAAGGCTACATACATTAATTGTATGATCAGAATACAAATTGACAGATCTACAGCAGGAAAAAGGATTGTAACACAAGCTTTTTGACAGCATAATGTCTTGAGCTCTGTACCCTGTTTTGTTGCTAAATACCTAAATTTACAGGTTATACAACTGGCTTAGATGGATCGGGAAAAACACAAGCCCTTTTTCGAAATATAAGACCATGGAAAATATCAAAGGAAGACTAAAAAAACCTTCTTATTTGTCTTTCTTAAAACTTTAATGCATAACTATAATTGGCATTCTCTATATGGCCATGGCCAGTCCCAGAAACTGTACAGGATTTTATTTTTTAGTATCCTTCCAAGACATAATCAGGTTGTTTTCCCCCTGTTCCTAAGGCAAATCAGAAATGAACACACCAGAAACAGTAGTTCATATTGCATCACTTGAAAGACTACCAGAATTAACATGCCTTCAGCTTCTCTGCTATAACTTTAGCACTGCTTTCATTTCTATCATATTGTAACATCTGCTTTAGTAAATACTCTGTGGTAAAATATTTCATCATTTTGAAGTAGAATTTTCACCCTAATTAGAAATCCGTAGATTCTTGGCAGCCAGCATCTGCTCCTGGATAATAAACCATAACCCAGTGACTGTGGGATCCAGGTGTTACATGAGGGAAACAAAGCCAGGGTCCAAAGGCTTCTAGCTGTCGGAGAAGCACTGATGGGTCATGTAACTGCATTTTAATGTATTCTGTTTAATTTTTTAATTAAAGCATAGTGGCAGTGTCAGATCTCAGTCCTTCTGATGATAAGGCAGTTCCTTATTTCTTAGAGATTGTTGGCAGTCATGCTTTGGATTTGACCAATGACACGCAGTTCAGTTCATTAACAGATGAAAAATTCTCTGGTTAAAACAAGACCTTCCTTCAAAAGGCCAAACAATCTGAATCCATTTAAAAATTTTAATGTTCTGCTCAATTTTCTTTCCTGGTTTTCTTTTTTTTTTTTTTTTTTGGCATTTCTCTGTTTCTATCCTACATAAATTTCACAATCAAGCTACCCGGTTTGTGATGCTTATGACACCTATGACTTGTCCCAGCCTAAGAAATCTCACTTGAACAGCTGCTCTTGTGAGATCTGAAAATCCATGGCTAGATACCAGAAAGTACTGAGCATCTCCTGCCAGATGCTCATAGTCCCCAGTAAACATTTCCGTTGAGGGAGATGATGTCAAGGGACCCACCAATTCCTTTCGTCCAAGGCAGTTGTCATTCAGATTGGAATGCCCCAGTGTTTGGGTGCTTATCCGAAATTCACTGTTCTCCTATCAAAACTCTAGAGAGCTTGGACTTTTTCTTCTACATGCTTTATTTCAGGACTACTCCGTTAATTTTAATGAAGTCTGTTCAGTAATAACACTAAAGCCGTTTAGCAAAAACCCAGTGCTTTGCAAATCCAACCAGGCATTACATGGCGCCTCTTGTAGGTGGGAGCCATAATTGCAAGATGAAGTAATTGCCCCAGGTATTACAAAAGCAGTAAGACATGAAGGATTGCACAAGATTGCAGGAAATAAGATAAAGCTGGGACCTGGATAAGCCCTGGATAAACTGCCTTGTGCTCTAATTTTGAGCAGGCCTTTGTATAGCCTTGTCTTGACTCTGCAGCAGAAAGTTTACCTTGCAAAACACTTCATTTGCTCCTTACTCCCTTTTCTGTCTTGATGGTAAAATCCTTTGCACATCTGGGGACTCTAACTTTCTTGCTAATTTTTGTAGCAACCCATGGCTCTTGTAAACCATGAAGATGAACACCCCAAATTCACAGATCAATAGTCTTGGAAGCTTTTTGAGTCACGTGAACATGTTTTGCTTTTTGAGATGTACACCAGCATAGTAAGAGAGCTTGGGTGCATATAGAAAAGATGCATACAATGAGCAAGAATTTGTACTTTTCAAAATACAACTTGTATTTTGAAGATGGATATGGTCTCTAAACACTTGTTTCTGCTAATGAGAGGCATTTCCAGCAGTACCACTGAGATGCTCTGAACCTTAAGATGCGAATGGTTAGTATCTGACATGAAGCCAATAAATATAATAAAGAAACAGAAAACCTATTACAAAGAAGTTATAAAGGCTATTTCAGTATTGCTGATTGCCCAGAATATTGGGAAATTGAAAAAAAAAAAAAAAGAATATGCAGCACCCCACACTTAAAACCAAAGCCCAAAGAGGCAAGAAAATATTAAGGAAATAAAAACTGATAACCTGTGAATGATCACAGGGGGCTTTTGCATGTCCCTATTCACCAGCTATTTCTATTACTCTTTTGTGCAAAGGCGCTGGAAGAAAACAGGTTATGATTTAATGAAGAGTATTGGGCTGAAACAAAGGCACAAATCTGAGATATTTTCCTTCATGGATAGAGATCTTTTTATTCCACCAAAGGGCAGTCCTGCCCAGGTACTACCCAAGTAGAGATTTCTAAGTATAAAGCTCCTGGACGGGGCCATACATAGATGAGAGACAAGGCCAGCTGTTCTCAGAGAAAGCTATGCTCACTCTTGGTCCAAAAGGGACTGTCCTTTCATGGACTCACTGGGCTTACTGGGTTTTGTGATACCAGTAACAAGACCACACGGGCAGTTATTCTGGTTCAGATCAAAGGCCAAAATTATCCAGTGCTGTGTCTCCATCAGCAGCCACACATAGACATGTAGGAGTGTAACAGTAGGCCAAGCATACAGAACACTGCCTCACTTGCTCACCACTTTCAGGTCAGAGATTTCCTGAACCTGCTGTGGTTTCTGTTTAGCAATTCTCATGAAAATTTCACTTCCAGGGAGTCGAACAGTCTCCCTGTGAATAAGTACTCAGGGGAAGATGAGCCATCTGCAAGCTCCCCACATTCAGAACCTGCTTCAGTGAAGAGTTCCAGAGGTCTTACATGACATTAAGATATGCCTTCCAATGTCTTTTTTGGTACATGGCTTTCCACTACTTTAATATGATGGCCTCTAGTTCTTTCATTGAGAAGAAAAATTAACCAATCACTCCCTATCGTACTATGCCAGTCATGATTCTGTAGACCTGTTATTATCTCAGCAGTTATACCACAGAGAATTTAATGTTCCAAAACATTAAGGTATAAGGCTGATAAGTTGCACAGTATTTGGCCAAGTGGACAGTGGATTTTAGAAGTATTACATTTTGGGATAGATCTCATTTATTTACACACTTATTCAGGTAAGGCAGGGAAGCTATTTTCCTGCTTCAGAGTATGCCATAAGAAATAAGCACAGCCAGTTTTAGGAAAGAAAAATGGAAATGAATGGAGGGATATCCAGGAGGAAGGGAGATTATAAGGTGCTCAAGTGTGACACAGAAACACATCTGCCTACATCAGGTACATGTCAGGCTCACATGTGCACACATAGAGAGATGCATGGGCAACACAACATCTACAAACATCATTGTGAGCTGGAGGAAATGAGAAAGAGGAAAGTGTGTTCTGAAACCCAGGCAAGCCGGCCTAGTGGGCTGGCATGGTGCATAACAGATCAAAGAGGGGCAGGAGAGAGAATGACTATCAGTCCCATATATTTATTAGGCCTTCCTGTTCTGCTTTATACTGTGTTCACTGCATCTTCCCTTTCTGCAGGTCTCATTTTACATGCATGTACCTTTCACAGATGGTTTTCATCATCCCACCTGTAATGTCCCACCTGAAATGGTTTTCATCATCCCACCTCAACTAAAAGGGAAGACAGAGGGTATGTCTGTCCACAATGAGCTAGGAAAAAAAATCTCTGGTGCTGGACCAGTATTGCTGGTCAGAGCCAGCAGTATCCTCAGCGCCATGGAGGAGAGTCAAAGTGAACTGTGAGCTTGTTCTGTTGCAGCAGTGGACTGCCTACAGAGTATTCTCGAACCATGAACATGAATAGGAGTTCAACCACCACAATCCCTATTCCATGAGTCATTCATGGCTAGGGATACAGGAGAAGAAGAGAAACAGAGAAGACTTTGCCTTTTTTCTAGTGAGAAATGCTGAGTAATCCTGTGGTAATGTCTAGGAATCTCATGCACACATCTTCCCAACCACAGCCACTCAGGTAAGCAAGGTGGTGCATGTGAACTGTTGCTGTCCCTGTATCCCTTTATTTCCCCTTAGTCTTTCACTAGCTGGGGATGTGAACCACAAGGCCTCCCTACTTTGATGTGTAAGTTGTCTCTTCTTGTAACAATCCTTTTTTCCCCCTTCCTGTTCGATTTTCCATGTACTCTGTCCCAGCCTAAAATTTTCAGGTTGACTTACTGATCAGGCAAGGTGTTACGATACAGGATAGTTTGGCACTCTGTCTCTTACAAGCTGTCTGGCCAGGATAACTCCCTGACTAAAGGAATTCTCATTCTTGAGTTTTAAGAGACCATTCATTTTGGTTTTGCTCCACGTGGAGCTCTCTATTCCACTCTGACACTAAAGATCAGGCTGGGTTTTCCCTGCTAGAACATCACACTCTCATGGAGCTTTAGGCAGTAAAAGGAGATTCTGTGTTTATAATATGATTTCTCCATTCCAGAAATGGTGCAAAACTGTAAGTTGGATACATTTCTCATTGAATACTTTGTCCTAAACATCTCCCTGAGCCTCAGCCAGAGGAATGTTTTTTTAATTCCTATTATAACAAGACTTTATTAGGAAGACATTCTGCTTCACGTGCAAGTGTGCAACAGGGTCCAAGTCTTCCTAGAGAGTCTCAGTAGCTAGCACATACTAGGGTGAAAAAGTTAAAAGAGATCACCATGTTGTCTACTTTTTTAACAATTTTCTCCTCACCAGAAAGTAAGGGTACGCTTCTTTCCCTAAGAAACAAGGAATGCTCAAACATCACACATGCAGCAGGGGCAATACAAAGTCGACTTGAAAGATGCATTTCTACCTAATTCCTCTCACGCCCTCTTGGTCTAGCATTTCTCAAGAGGAAGGACTGGTAGAAAATTCTGGCTTCTTCCTTAAGTTTGATTTAATTTCAAAATTCCAGAGAGCAAAATCCCTAATCAACTACAGTTCTAGTAGCCTCACCTTTCCTGCTCCCTAACAGAATAACCCATGGGCTAAGCACCTTTGCAGTATAGCCTACAGAAGGTCAGGCAGTTCTGAAGGGCAAAAGCAAAGTGGAAAGTAATATTTCCTGAACTGGGCATGCTTTTCTGTCATTTAATAATCATACACTCTTTTAGATGGAGTTATTTTATCTTCAGCTGTTAAAGCCACATTAGAAGTATGTAACCCATATGTATAGTGCGCCAAGGACATCTGGGATTTAACTGCAGGATGCAATGCAAACTTCATTCCCCCAGTTTTGTCTTGGGTTTCTTCACACAAAGAGCAAGCATAGAATTTGGCTCTTATGTACAATATTTAGTTACTAGCTTTTCATCATCGTATAATGGGCAAATTCTTCCCACTCCTCCTGCCTCTTTGTGCTCCTGCAGCCTCTGCTCTCTGCCTTGCTCCTATTTCTTTCTTGTATCTTCCAGCTTTTCCTCATTTTTCCTTCCTTGAAGCACTACCAATAGCTAAGCTTCTTCAGGTTTTCAATGTTCACCTTCTTCTTTGTTCTGTCCTTCTAAAGGACAGAAGAGTTACACTGCCATTTTTTTGTGTGTGCTTGTGTTACCACTAGAGTTCAGAGTGAACACTTGTTACATAATGGTGGGATGAGACCAGTTTCTCTATTATCAATTCAGGCTGCCTGCATATTCAGATTGATGTCATTTCACAGGGTCACACATGTAAGATTTTCTTTACCACCATGAGGAATTGAAATTTACTTTTAAAACAGGTAAAATACAGCTTCTGCAAGACCTTAGTATACGGTTTGTGCTACCACAATACTGAGGCAAGAATTTGATTACACTACTGGGAACTTCTGAGCATATTACAAAGTTACCAGTAGCTCTCAACTTTGTGCTGGGACCCTCTGAAGTCGGAGTTTCTAAAGCATGCCTGAAGGGTTTGAAAACCAGGTATCTTCTAGAGCATGTCCCTGTTCTGGCAGATTTTGGAGCTGGAGAAAATCTGGAAAATCTATTGATGATGCAGCTTTTAATGGAGAAGTGGGCAAATGGCTCTTTGGGCAGGAGGAGGGCAAAAGCTGTTTGGGGAATGTGCTGGGAGCATTGGAGTGGGAATGAGAGAGGGAGGGGTAGGATGGGTGTGGGGAGTTACTGCTCTGTCTGAAAGGAGCTTGTTCCTTGCTTTAATCAGAGGGATGGCCACCCTCAGCCTCCTGTTACTGAGAGGCACTTTACCTTCCTGTCCCTGCTGAAGCAAGGTGCTCAACAGTAGAAATTACTTACCTGATAACTGCTGCACTGAAGGCTGGTCATGTGTGCTTAACAACTGTGCCTGAATGGTTTCTACTACCCTCTTAAAACGACGGCTTGGACCTGTGAGGAGAGAAGAGGCACAAATGGCTGTGAAAGGAGTGGGAGCTGAACCCTCATACAACCTGGGCTGGAGGGGAAGGATCACAAGCATCTTCCCTTCAGTCTTGTCCCCAAGAGTGTACTGACAGTGTATCTGTCCTTCAACCAAAAGCATGGCATTGAGGAACTATTATGCACAGGACTGTGGTGTGCTGGACTTTAACAGGAGGGAGGATGGCTTCTGGGTTCCTTTTGTAAAGACAGAAAAGGTGGGTCTGCTTGTTTCTTGACCCTTTGGTTGGTTTCAACCCCTGTGGGGTGTGTGTGGCCATCCAGAAGAAAAAGGTGATTGCATGTTTCTGTCAGGAGAAACCAGTGGTCTCACAGTGGCTAACTGAAACATTCAGACTTCTGAGTGAACCAAAGAGACAGTACAGGGAGATACTTCATTTTATCCCTAATCCTGGCGGTGGCAACTTCACCTCTTTGGAAATCTCTTTCCCTCCCAGAATTTCCATCACTACCAACATAATTTTTGTTCCTGATGTCCTCTTTGCCCCTGTCTGAATTTTCTCCTAAGATCAAGACAGGTATATTCTTTCCCCTGGCAGAGGTCTCTTTGCTGGTGTCTATATCAGCAAGGACAAAGCCAGCATGCATCCATTTTAGAGCTTTGCTGTGGTTACCTGATAAGAGTGTGAAAGTGACAGAATAGATCCCATTCTCCTTCTGTGCCTCTCCCCCTTCTGTGTATGTTATGTCCACCTGGAACTTCACTGGCTTCTGGAAGACGGCAGGACCTCCTGTGGACTTATATTCTGCACGGAAACTTGTCTGTGAGATGACACTGTGACTGAGGCTTGGAATCTGAAACAGGTTGGTAGAAGGAAACAGTAGAACCAGAGCACAAAGGGAACAAAATGGAAAAATTCAATTTAGAGCAACAGAGAGTAGCTAAGATTTGCTAGATTTGCTTCTGGACTTGAATTTATAATGTACAGAGTGTTCTTGTGAAATAAGTAAGAGCATAGGTTGCTCGGCACCACAGAAGAATGCACTGCTCCTTACAGGACTGACCTAAATTTAAAGGTTGAATATTGGTGGAATACCCAGCATGCTTATAAATATACACATCACACAACTTTATATACTCAGTCTTTCTTATCCTACTCATCTATCAGTTTTGAGAAATGCCTTTTGCTCAGTAAAAACTGATATTAAGGGAGGGGGCAGAAAAGTCAGTAGGATATAACACTGGATATAAAAAAACCACCTGAGTAGCCTGATCTTGGAGCTGACCCTGTTTTGAGCAGAAGACCTTCTTAAATCCTTTGTGACCTCAACTGTTTGATGTTTCTATGATATCAAATAGACATCAGGACATGGAGCAGACACTTAGTCAAGAGCCTAGGATATCCACAAGGAAAGCATGCCTGAAAATAACTTACCCAAACCACAACTCCTATCAGTATGTAAAAGAATTAGGAGACACTTTCTGGTATCATTCAATATCTGTATTTTCAGACCCATGGTTAGAATTTCATGAATCTGCCTAGTTGTCACAGAGTTATCATTTACAGCTCCTGACAAAATTTAACATAGTCACATTCTATTTATTGCTTTATAAAGGACCAGATTTAAAAAAACAACCCAACAAACACAAATCACTTAGAAATCTTGCCTTCTAGGAGGGAAAATGAAGGTGTGTTGTCTGAGAAGCTGACCTTAATGATTTACTTAGCAGGCTGTGACAATGCGTTTAACTCTGAAGCTGGCTATAAGAGATGATTCATAGAGTTTGCGCACATCACTACATCATACCTCAAGCCACACATGTGGGGTGTGCAGAGGATCACCAATATACACAGTAATGCACACTACACCGCAATATAAACCCAGAAGAATGTAAATGGCTAAATGCCGTTACTGATACAGTAACACGGATGCTTGAAATCAGCCTGAGATGGATACCAGTGTCTGATGCATGCTAATGTACTGTACTTGCTCTGTGTACACTTGTACAGTTAAAAGGATTATGTGTTTTTTTTTGGAAGAAATTAATTGCAACTTCATAGAGACTAAAAAGAAGTGCAGTAATTTGTGGAAAACAATATAAATTGAACAAATGATAGAAGAAATTAAGTCTCCTCTTCACTGTATTGAAAAAAAAACCTCTAATTATGTTGTTAACTACCTTGAATGGAAAAATCTTTCAAACTTTACTGTGCTGACTTTTTCTTCGTTTGTATTTCTAGATAGTGAGAATAAAGACTTATAAAGGAAAAAATTGCCATTTCCCTCTGCTTTCCTAGATTGTAAATACATTACATCTGCAACAACTGATACACTGGCCATCAGAGGAGATTATCCTTCTTTCTGCCATGTAGCATGGAAGGGGAGATTTAAAGTAACAAATACAGACGTGAGACAGGATTTTTATCTGACTAAAGTGGTGAAGGACATAATCAGCTGAGGAGACCTAGTCTGCTACCAGACAGACTGGTTAGTTTGACAAAAGCAGCAAATCACTGTCTTGCTACTGCATCAGCTGTGTGCTCTAACTGCCCCGATATTCCAAGCACTGGTAACCTGGAGATGCTGCCAAGAAGGCTGAAACCTTTTCTTATCTTGGCGAGTATTATCTATTAGAAATTCAGACAGAGTCCAGTAGAGGTCTGACTCAACAGGCCATATAAATTAAATCCACAAAGTATGCATTTGAAGCAGCAGAGACCCTACCCAGTAACATATGGCACAAGGAGTCTTAGAACTGATCAGTGAGCAATGCCTCCAAGAGGCAGCTGGGGTGACTTACCGAGAGGAAAGCGTGGACAATATCAGCCTTAATGGAGCTTAGCGGTTTGTCCTTAATGACCACAAAAATCTGTTCTTCTTTCTCCAAGTTGATGAAGTTACCAAACCAGGACTTTTTGGCAAGCCTGACATGATGAAAAGAAATAGATGGTTTAGCATATTAAGCACTATTTCTCATTTACCCCAGCTAGAACAAAATATTAAAAAAACCCACAAGGAAGTTTTGATAATACTCCAGATGCAATACTATTACTAGGAGCAAGTGGGAAACAGCCTCAGAGAACATGTAGAACATTTCACTTAGTAAAAACTCTTAAAATGGTAAGACTACATAGTGTTAGCCTGGCAGCATGTGTCCCCAACAATGACAAGTCAGGAGCAACGGTGACCCTTTTGATTGAGCCAATATACCGATTAATACTGCATATATAAAGTGCACACAAGACAGGGACACATTTCTGGTTTGCCTCCAGGGATCTCTCCATTTCTTGTGCAGTATGTGGATGCTGGTAACAGGGGTTTAAGTTTCTTCCACCCAATTTCAAGCCCTCTTGTGTTCTAGGACATGAAAAGTCCATTTTCTGAAGGTGTCCTATTGGGCTGATGATAGTGCAATCACAGGATTTCTTTTTAAAGAAAGCTGTAGATTTCAGTGGACCTCCAATCTGTCAGTGAATGAAATCCATTCCTACGCAGAGGGCAGGACAAAGACTGTCCCATTCATTAGTCCCACTCAAGGTGTCTATATAATGAATGAACTCTGGCCACCCTCCAAAGGAATGAATTTTCAGTACTATGAGAGAAGATATTAACACCATGCGAAATACAGTTCAGGCTTTCCACTGACAGCAGCCCAACTTTGCAGCTCCTTTCAGCACCAGATAGAGCTTTCATCATAAAATGAAATGCTGGTTTTTTTTTACACTGATCATATCAGCAAATGTTTGATTTTGCTTCTTGTTTCACCATCTCAATGCACTTTGTTGACATTCCCTTTTAAGTTAAATAGGCTAATGGAAAAATGCAGGGACATGAACATTATTGGGGGGCACTACCCAGAACTTTAAGGTAGAAACTCTGACAGATGTGGTTTTGAGCAGAGAAAAGTTGCTGTGAGCCATGAGATACAGCCAAAGAATTGCTGGACCAACCTAAACCCAGGGAAAATCCCACTGTAATCAGCCATATTCTAGTAGGGAATAATTTAGCATGAAAATGTCAGAAATTATAAGACCTGCCACTAAGAGACTGCAGGTTTTTCCTCCACAGTATACTTTATAATGCCATGACAAGTGCGGTTTGCAGTATGGCAAGCAATAGGTTTTTATTTGTTTTGGCGGACATTCACCACTCAGTGGAAGGAGACAACTTCTCCAGACAAGGAGAGCCATCTGCAAAAAGATTAGTATACATCAGCTTTCCAGCACAGTGATAAACAGCTGGAGAGAGTTATTAGTAGATTCACTTTCTGCAGTAAAGACTCAGACTGATGCAGAATGAGGAAGGGCAGAGACTAGGAAAGAGAGGAACAGACTAGGAAACTAATTTGAAGTCTAGACCCTGGGGATAAAGAACAAAGCTTGACCTCAGCAGCATCCAACCCCAGTTCCAGAATGCTCCATGAATCACACAACTGTCATCTCACTGCCCATTTCATGCACACAGCAGAAAGACCACAACTGGAAAACCACTCAGCTGAGTAAATAATCATCTGCTTCTACTTACTGCAGGCAACCAAAAATAAGAGTACAGAAAGATTCACTTGCAATTTGGTAAACGAGTGCCCCCCACTCAATTAAAGCGGGCTGGAAAACTGTCACTCCCTAAAATATTCATAGGCAGCTGTAACCAAGCCAGTGAACCAGAGATTAGCATAGGGAGCAGTAAAGAGAAAGGGCCTCTCATTTAAATGGGTCGTTAAGGAGCCAGGGTTAGAGTGTGAAAGGAAATTACATACTAATTAGCTCATGTGTCTCACACACACCACAACAACTCTGCAAGCCTCTGGAGAGCTGGGGCAATAGCTCCCTGCATTAAAGGGTCTATGCTCATTAGTAAATTAGCACCTGGTTATCCATCTAAAACAGCTGGTTGTTTTAGGCTTGTATGTATCATAATCTGATCCAGGACTGGCTATAAGGACTCCAGGGGCAGTGTATGTCACATATGGAAGCTGGGCCTAAAAAAAGTGGGCATATTTAATTGCAGGTCTGCTATGTTAAAATGTGGCTTTTCATTTTTATATTTTCATTACTGGCCCTTCATTTATAGGTCTCTTAAAAAGCACAGGTTAAAAGGGCTCTAGAAGATAGGGAGGTTTCCTCTCATTCAGCACTTGGAAACTTGGTCTGGAGTCTCCAGAGTCCAGCTGGACTCTCTTCTTTGGCAAGGTTATCACCAGTAATACTGACTCTGGAAGATTCACTGATATCCTGGGCTATGCTCCAACATGTAAACCACTGGAATTCAACAAAATAATTTTGCCAGTGGCCTCTCCTATTTCTGGAATGAACAGAATCATGACATAGCACACATGCAATGGCTTTTCTCCCCCAAATTAGCAAAACTAGCTGTGTTTATACACCTAGGTAACAGGTGTATAAGCACAACTGAAGAAGAGGAGGCAGTTGCTTTGGAGTAAAACAACACAATAAAGATTTCTCTTCTCTTAAAAGGTGTTAAGTGCTGCTAAGTTCGGTTAAAACGTGTATAAATCCAGGATCTTCAGCACCTGGAATGAGATGCTTTAGCATCTCACAAGATCAGGCTGTAAGCAGTACAAAATGTACTTAAAATTAACAATCTTCTCTTGTCATGGCAAACCTCCTAAGGGGGAGGGAGATAGGAGAGGTGTGTGGGATACTGGGTATGTAGATTACTCCAGGGAATCTAATCAGGTGTCCAGTTGATGAAAAAGCAAATAGATTAGCATGAAAATGGAGGCTGGTGCTTTATTCCTTCACACTGAATTTCTCACTGCTATAATGCTGTTCCTTTTCCTTCTTTTAGAGTGTCTGACTGCATCACCTTCTGGAGAGCCTCACTGTCTTCCCTACCTGCCTTTGAGTGCATGGATCTGTAACCTCCAGAGGTTTACCTGCTTGGCATAAATAACAGCATTTCTACTCAAGCAAATGGAGCTTTGCAGGTTTAAAGCAGCTGGAGCTATGTCTCTTTAAATAGCATCCCTAACACATTTTCTCAGACTCTCTCATATGAGAAAGAATAGTATTACTCAGACATGTCAAAGTGTATTACCTAATCATCAGGTTTGTTAAATGAATGGCAGCCACTGCTGTACCAGAGCAAGGACCTTATTTATTGCTTAACCCATGAGGTCAATACGGCTCTTGATAAGGATATCCTATTTCTTACAGAAAGAAAGGAAGTACTATTAAAAATAAGACATGTGGAAGTGGGCACTGAGCAACAAAACATCTATCGTTAAAATATAATCCAGTTCATTATTTTTTATGACTTTTATTATGTTTACTGCAGGGTGCAGCCCAACTGAACTCATTAATTTGGCAATTACACAGAAAGAGAAAAAAAAGGCCTTAGGCTTTGACTTGCATCCAAACTGCCTCAAATGACAGGCACTGCTTCTCTGTACCAGCTTTTAAAGAGTGAGTAGGAAGCAGAAAAGGCAATAAATTAACAGCAAATCTTCCACCAACATACATGCGTGAAGAGGAGAAATTTAGTTCTGAAGGTTTTCTGCTTTAATGGCCTTGAAAACATCTGAGATGAGAGTATCATATATTTCTTTGATAAGGATGCATTAATTTTATGAAATTCACTTATGCATTTCTATTGGTAAATGCTCCAAAGCGTTGAAAATACAATTTATTGCATTTTTCTTCACTGATTTCTTTTGCTAACGTTTACTATTCCCTAATTCTCCCTCTCCTCAAGTCTTTATCCCTCTCTATTCTGCAGCATTAGATATGCAGCATAAGAGTGCCTATCTTATACCAGATAAATGCCAGGTCTGGGGGAAATTGTTAAGGCAATGCCATTGTCGGCAATCGTAAAACTTTGGGTCTGAAATTTCCATCTACAACTCATGAATATTTCACACAAGTATTTTAACAAAAGGCCAAATTGCCTTGGTTGGCTGGGTACGTCTATGGGCACTGGGTGCACAAACACAAGCTGTGAAAATAAAAAGGAATAATTTGGCATCTGTTGCATGTATTAGGAAGTGTTTGGAGCAGCACTCTCTGGCAGGGACTTCCAAACCTGCTATGCAGTGACGCACATTTGTGCAATGAAAGGTTGAAATGCACACTGACTTTTAGGAATGAGTCTGGTGAATATGAAGCAGTTTCTGCATGTCCCAGTGCTGCTGCCTAGAATTAACGCTGCATTTACTATCGCAGCCAAAGATTCCTCTGAAATATCTTAGCAGAGGCTTCTGCATGTTATCCTGAGGATACAAAGTCTCCTGTACTAACAGGAAGACCTTTTACTGTATAGTTAGTGCCAGTATAAACCACTGATTAACCTCTCCACTCCTCAAGAGTGATCTGCTTGACAACCAAATGAAAGAAGAGAGAAAGAACGTTACATATTTAGTAAATTCAGCAAGCTATGAGAAAATTAGGTGATTACTGGGAGATTGTTTCATCACCTGTTGACCCCACTGAGGTACAGATCTTATCCTGGGTCCTTGGAAGAACAGTTTCACATCTCTATCCCTCTCACAGGACAACAGATTACAGTCAGACACTGATCCGCAACAGAAATACGTCACCCTATGACATTCAGGCAAGGAAATGACATTGGTATTTGGTAGAAAGAAAGTAGTGTAACGGCAAAGTACTTACTCTGGGGATGATTCCGGGGTTAAATTAGACATCTCCTCTGGTGTAGGTACTGCACACACAGCCAAAGAGAGGGAAGGAGAAAAGAAATGGATGATTCAGTACACCTTCAATTTTCTGCTTGTATACCAATGAAACAATTCTGACATTACACCCTCTTGCATTTCCCTACTGCCTCTGCAGACTAGTTCAGACATTTAAACATTGGTCATATGTCTTTGGATCACTGTATCATCTAATCAAGAGCTGCCTTTCAAGGCTCACTCTACCCTTCCTTATATCATTATGTAATTCTGCACTGTCTTCAATGGTTTCTGGTTCAGACCCAAACACCATGACAGTCTGATCGCTTTACAAGTGCTTCAAAGCCTAGCTGGATGCAGCTCAGTCACTGCTGCAATTCTCTGCAGTTCTCTGACCATTTCAGAAACAACGTCGCTGACCATGACAGTTCAAATTCAACTCTTCATGGCTGTAATCCTCCTTTCCCAAGGGATCACATCCCAGTACACTGTAAAAAACCATAGGGTGTCAGGATAGCTGCTGATGACATGTGAGGATAATGCATGTGACTTTGGGTGCCCTTCGCCTGAATACAAAAAGCCACCTGGAGCTTGAAGCAGAAAATTTTGTACATCTCAACACTCTAGAGACTCTGAAAACTGAAAGAGGCCAGCAGATACAAGATCAGTGATGAATTAAGGAGATTTTTACACCAATTACCAAAGGAGGTAAAAAAAGCATCAACAAAGATCAAACAAGCTGTGCTTCAGAAGAACCTATTTCATCCTATTGCCACTGGCTATCCTTTTTCAGCAGAAGGCTCAGCTGTGGCTAAGGAGAGGCAGCAGAGCACAGCTATAGGGGAAGTGGCAGAACTCTAGGTTCACTGACAAAACAAGCGGAGAAGCTGAAGATAAAATTTTCTTGTGTTCTAAGAACCACGAGAGGGATAGTAAGAGCTGTATGGCTAGAGTTTGAAGAGGGCTCAGGAGATGGTGTTGGAGCAGATGCAATGGCATGACAGAGCCTGCTTACACATGCCTTGGGTTGGGGCTGGCTGATGCTATCACTCTCATTTTCAACGCCAATATTATTCAGTCCCCAATACATGAAACTTGCAGAGCCACAGAGAGACTTGATGCCGAATGTCTGCCCAAATCAGAACCACCTGTGTGTTCGGGTGAGTACTCACCTTGCAATTTCCGGCGATGGAAGCGAGGAGACCCCAGGAAACTATTCTTGATTGAGTTGAGCCGTGTCCTCCATGGCATTCCTCCAATGCTGGGGCTGGATGGTGGTGTTGGATTGGGTGTGCCTGCTGGGCTCTCCTTTGGCGTATGGACAGGTGTCCCCTTGGGGGTAGGGAGGGGACTTCCCCTTGGAGAGGGGTGAGGGGTGACCTGTATGATGGGGATAGATTTGGTGCTTGGGTCAGTACTAGAAGGGAGCAATCTAACAGGAGACATAGGGTTGGTCTGAACTTTAGGAACAGCCAGCTGTGGGTTAAAGCCGGCAGCAGGTGAGCGGCCCTGAGCATTCTGCACAGGGGTGTTCTGGGAAGAGGGGGCGCTGGTATTGCTGGTAGGGAGTGGGTTTGACTTAGTAGACTGGAGTGGTTTTTCGGCCAATTTGCTCTTGGATGGCAAAGTCTGCGTCTTTGGGTTGGGCTGAAGTGCTGGCTTTGGTTGGAGTACATGTCCAGGCCTGGAGGCGTTCCTACAAGCATCAGGGTCCAAGGAGACTTGGGGTCGGGGACAGAAAGGGAGGTCGGAGGTCTGAGGGGGGATGAAGAACTTTCTGATAGGCTACAAGACAGACACAGGGTGTCCATGCACATCAAAAACAGTGAAATACGCATAGAGCGGGCGAGCAGAGAAAGTCAGAATAAAATCCATTCGAGTCACAAAGATGCACCATGTCACAAGGAGACACAAGAGATGGAGGTGAAGGGGTAGTGGGGAGGGGGGGATTTTGCAAAGAAATGAAAACAAACAGAAAACAAAAAAAAAGACATGCAGTTAGCTGGGAACACAGCATAATCAACAACAGCAGCAGCGGCAGCAGCAAGAACAACAGTGTCATAACAGGCTTCATCATATTAACCAACCACGTGTCAGCAAAGGAAAACAACAGAAAGAAAAGTAAAACAAAGAAAAAACCCAAACAAAAGCAACAAACAAAAAACAACCAAACAAAAATAAACCAAACAACACAACAACAACAAAAAAAAAAAAAAAGAAAAAAAGAAAAAAAGAAAGTCATCAAGAAAAAAAAGAAGAGAGAAATGCCATCTCTCTGGGATTGTTCTGATTGCCCTGCAGTGAGAGAAGCAAGATGCTGTAGGGAGGTGAGGAAGGGGAAGAAGAACCACTGAAGCCACAGACAAATTGAGATGTGCCAAGAATGGGACCACCTCTTTCAGCTCCAAGTGCGCATATGCAAACCCAGAAGAAAGATGAAACTCAAAACAGGTGTGTGATACATACGGAGTGGTAGGCAATACACACACGTTACTGCACACACCAGTCAGAACCTCTTTCCTTCCTCTTTACCCGACTCTGCCTAATGCACACCCCTGTTGCAGCCACTCATTGCAGAAGGGGGTTGGAAAGTGGGCATTGAGTCTTCTGCCCTGACCTGGAAGGTTAAACTGCTCAGCATTCACTTGGAGGCTTCAGAACACACACCTCCAGGAGAAACATGAAAACTCAGACTGGTGTTTGATTTGTAAACAGCTATAGCAAACACTTCAGAGAGGCCTGGCAAATTTGTTTATCTGGGAAGAAATGATACTTCCCATCAGACTTTATGCTTCTCCTGCAACATTCCTCATCGCACTGAAGGACAGCTTGATAATCTGAATTTCCATCATAAAGTCACAGCAATATTTGCCATGAAGTCCCAATTCTATGGAGGGGGTGGGGTTTTGTAAGACATGGTTTAAAAAGAAAAAGACAATCCGAATTCATAATCCACCACTGAATTATCAAAATGGGATTATGAATTACTTTTTTTTTTTTTTCCCCAAACAATAACATTTAGCATGTTAGAGGCATTTTGGGAAACCATTCATATGCCGACAGCAAACAGCAACACACAAACTTGGGAAGATAGAAGCCTTTTAAAGGGATATTAGCAAGCTAAAAATCACATTTTAAACAAAACAAATGTCCTTACAAAACATCACTGTTATCACCTTAGATTATAAGTACTGGCAGCATGGTAAAAATAGAAATCACTACTCAAGATCTTTAGCTTTGGTCTACACTCAGATTCTGATTTCTATAAATGATTAGCTATTATGAGTTATCACCATAATACTATTACTATTATCATTAATTCTTAACACATAAAAGCTGTAATCAAGCACTGTCCAGACATTTTATGTACACGTAACCATGCCTCAAATCTCAGTCCCAGGTAAGCATACTCACTGGTGAGTTTACTTTCCAGGTTTGATGGATTAGCACAATTTTGCCACATTTTAAAAATGCAGAAATGTATTTAAGACTTAATTTCTAAACTGGTTTGCATCAAAGTTTTGTAATTACTTCAAAGAACTTGGGACTAGGCCACCAAAATGAAAAGAAAATCACTACATCGACACATCTGTATTATTACTAGGATTGTAAAGTTAACTGAATTCTGCCATGTTGATAAATTCTGATCACCAATGAAAAAAGAAGTGGAAAAGATGAGGAAAATGGTTAATCTATGGAAGTCACTATCAGCATCTGATAGCGCCAAAGGATACAAGTTAGACAGCTTGACTGCAAATGTTCCCTTGCCATTTTTGTATCTTATGTGTACGATGGTTTGAGAAACAAATTTGAAAGAAAAACTCAAATTCAACTCCCACTTAAGCCGTTTTCAATTTGAAGGGACACCCTTAACTACCACATTTTTAGTAATAAAATAAAGCACAAAAAAAAACCAGAAGTCTGAATTTCAGCTGGTGCAATGGGGAATACTACCATGAGATCTTGTGAGATCTAAGAACTTTTAGCTGCTGTTGAATTCAGTTCCTCATAGAACTGAACCTAAGCAGTGCGTATAGCGAAATGTGCATTTGCTTTTTAAAGTATGTTCCCTTTCAATAATCTAAGGTGCTATTAGAAACATAGGTAAGGACATAAAAAAAAAATCAAAACCAAAAAAAAAAAACAAACCACACCAATTTTTATTCCATCATTTCCTTCTAAGCCTCAAACTTAACCTGCCTTAATATTATTATGATCTGCTGAAAATGCCATCTGGTTGCTAAATCCCTTTGAAGACTATTTGATCAACTACCTGTTAAGTAAAAATAGTAAGATATAGCAACTATGGAACAGATTTTGCCATCCTTATTTTTTGATGTAGTCCTACTGAGATGTCAGAAATTGATCCCAAGAGATCAACTAATGAGATCAAGTTTTAGGTTTGATGCACTGGATGATTATTTTGTGCAAAAACTGTTTCCATTGCTCTTTTTCAGTACATTTTGCAGTGGCATAAGAGTGAGGACCTCTCCTTCATTCTACTGACATCCAGGAGTCCCAGTGCAGAAACAAGGAAATGGATCTTCACTGTTTTCTGGCATGTTAAAGACACAGATGTGATCACAAACACATTTTTGCCAGTTGCAAAATAGGGCAACAATTGACAGGAGTCTAGAATATGTTTTAGTTCAAGCAAGCAAGGAATTTTTACTAGCCTATAAATTTAGACCTGAAAGTGTGTCTTTATGCCTAAGAATTACACACGATCTTACTGGAGAATTACAATTTTAAATGCTTGGAATACTGATGTTATCTTCATATACCTAAGAGTAGATCCATAGGTATATCCATAGCCTAACACGAGGGCTGTCCAACTGGGGAATAACATCTTCTCATGAAGTCATGAAAGAGATGTGGAAATTTTCCTAAGACACTGTGCCAGACAATTAGGAAACATGGATCACCATAGCCCTACAGACTTCTTGATGAGGTGTAGACTTTTGTAAGGACTGCAGTCTTGAAGTGACTAAGCTGACCTTGTCAGACACTAGGAATACTCAGTCTTATCCCTAAAGAAATTACCAAGAGAGGAAGGCCTCTGTCATTGCACTTAAAAACTGTATTAACTTTGCAGCAGATACTCCATTAAGCATGTTTTGTGCTAGCTGAGTATCAGTATTAGTTGAGGACTGATATTTAGTTGACTGCATGTTGAATAAGCACATGTGACTGTAACATTTATAGGGGTTTGAGTTCTTGTCTTAATTAGTCAACTTACTTTCCTTTTAACTTTGCTAGCCCTCAAATTTGTGTAATTTATTTTTTCTGACCTTCTAGTACAAACTATTCTGAGGCAAACAGAATGAAGCTCGCTGTAACTGGCATGGTTTGGTGCTCTACTGTGACCTGACTGAAGGTAGCTGTGAAATGGTTCCTGATATTTGGTCTGAAACCATGCCATATTTGGACCTCAGCTGGATATGGCAACATAATAGCAACATAATTCTATGTGCTTGAGACTGAAGAGGGCAGGGGCACAGTGAGATCCCTGCTAACAGTGCAGGGAGTATGTATGAGAAACTCTCTGCTTGCATTTGCAATTAACATTTCCTTCGCTACACATGAAAATTTACAAGCTGCCAAGAAAAAACAAAACATCCCAGCTAAGAGCCACAGCTCTGGAGCAACAGATGTTGAAAAGCATCAAGCATGTGTGAGTGAACTGTACCAACAGATCTGGAAGCAGCACCACTTACCCTTGGACTGCTGAGAGGACTGGTGGAGAGCCCAGATGATGCTCCGCTGATTGACCGAGACCTGAATGGACACAATAAGGAAAAGAGCCCTCAGAAAACTTGGACAAGTAATAACCCTGAACACCAGCCACCACAGGCACAGGCATGAAGTGAGGAGGAGAGAGGCTGTCACTGGAAAAGCACATGACTCTTTCTGTTCACTACTCTTACATTTTTCAGTTGTCCCACCCTCAAAACAAAGAAATGCTGTTGCTCAGGGAGGATATTATGATCCATTTTCATTAAGGGAGTTGCTACCTTCTTTTTGGTCATCAAGCCCCTGGAAGCTACTACGTCTGACCTGTGCAAGCTGAACTGCTGAATTCAAAAGGGATTGTCGACATTCATGTTGGTGCTGAGAATTCTCCTTCTGTGCAGTGCTGGTGGACACAGAATAAGATGTCCTCTGTCATGAGCAACATGGGAAAGCACCACATGTCCAAGGCACAAAGGCAGGGGATTCTTCCAGATATTAAGAAAAAACCCCAAGTCTCCATGACCCAAACACACAATCGTTTCCTATGTGATGACTTCCCACTGAAATCAAAGCTCACATTGGCTTAACCCTTTCCAGCTTCTCAGTGATGGATTAAACATCTCTGCTCTTCAGTAAGAGATGTGGTTGCATGAAACAAGCCAGGTCTTCTCTATGGATAATGAGTTCTGCTATTGTTGATAACTTTACTAATATCAAGATAACAGTGCCGGTGCCCTCAAAAAGGGCCAATCAAAGGAGATTAAACTGTCCTTCTACATGCTGACAAGGTCACCTATACTGTGATGCTCTTATGCTCTCCAGCAAAGGCAACCTATGAAAAATGTCGGGTGTAGACAATAAAACATACAAATGTGCTATGTTAAATGTGCTGAAAGGGCAGACAGGCCAAACACACAAACATTTCAGCAGCAGTGGTTTCTAGGAGGAGGGCTGCCCAGCAGTTAAAATACCCCTCTGACTGTAAATGAGTAAACCCCAGAGGCAGCTGCTTTCTATCCTTTCTAAATAGAAAGAGTTGTATTGAAGACTGAAACATCTTATAGGAAAGGACTTGGCTAAGTCTAGTTGTTCAACAACCACCATGCAACTTGTTAATACAGCAAACCTACCAAAGTTTCACCTATGGTAAGAGCCGTGAAAGAAATTACTTGCCTTTATGTAACAAACATGAAAAGGTGAAATCCTATAGATACTTGGAAAACAGTGCACATGTGTATGTGTACAGATACGTGCCTGCATGTGTGTGCACACACATGTATTTAAAAAGCACGTAGGTCAGATAGTTAGTACCAGGTTATACATAAGAGAATATAAAGCAAAACCAAAAAGAAGTTCCTGAAATGGTGTCACAGACATGCTACTAAATAAATTTTAGTAGTAGAATTATTAAAAAATATGTGAACTATGACAGAGGAAATACTTCCAAGGGAAGAGTAAGTTACAGCTGAAGACAATGGCAGGTCCTGTTCTCTGGATTTGTATCCTCTGCAGAAACTACTCACTGATGGTTTTCTATATATCTCACTGCAGTTTTTCCATCACAGCAAGTAGGTGAAACCCAGAAGGCCAGTCTCAGCATGCTTTCTTTTTGCAGATTAAATCTATATTTGCCCTGTGAAATCAGTGGCACTCATTCTATGCAGAAACTTCTCACTTCTGTTTTTCCTTGTACCCTGCTGCAGCCTGCCCATCATAGTGCAAAAGTCAAAAACTGGAAGCTCAGTCTTGGCATTCTTTTGCATTAGATTAAACCTAAATTTGTCCCAGCACAATCTGGAGCACTCATAAAGGCTTATGCAAAGTAATTTTAACAGGAGAACTGTCTGATACACTTTTGAAAGGCTATTTTATGAACCTCTCCTATGACTGAAGTAGCTGAGTGCAACACAGATGTGTTGTGCATATAGAAAATCCATTGAGTTAAAATTTGCCTTGTATGAGTCATCGGGAAAAGCTACTTCCAAACCATAAATAACAAGCGGAGCCTAAAGATTATCTTGGACAAATATAAAAGGCATTTAGGTGCCCAGAGATGCAGCTAAACACTTACTTAGGAGTTAAACTCCCACTAGGAGATGTTCCCACCAACTCTTAATTGTGGTAGGAGAGTCCTCTCTGACACTCACCTGAGTTCCAGGATACTTGATTAAAAGCTCCAATCTGCTATTTCCTTTTTGCAATCAGGTGTTTCCAATAGAATCATAGAATCATAGAATGGTTAGGGTTGGAAAGGACCTTAAGATCATCTGGTTCCAACCCCCCTGCCATGGGCAGGGACACCTCCCATTAAAACCGTATCAATCAAGTTCTCGTCCAACCTGGTCTTGAACACTGCCAGGGATGGAGCATTCACAACCTCCCTGGGCAAACTATTCCAGTGCCTCACCACCCTAACAGGAAAGAATTTCCTCCTTATATCCAATCTAAACTTCCCCTGTTTAAGTTTTAACCCGTTACCCCTTGTCCTGTCACTACAGTCTCTAATGAAGAGTCCCTCCCCAGCATCCCTATAAGCCCCCTTCAGATACTGGAAGGCTGCTATGAGGTCTCCACGCGGCCTTCTCTTCTCCAGGCTGAACAGCCCCAACTTCCTCAGCCTGTCTTTATATGGGAGGTGCTCCAGTCCCCTGATCATCCTCGTGGCCCTTCTCTGGACTTGTTCCAACAGTTCCATGTCCTTTTTATGTTGAGGACACCAGAACTGCACACAATACTCCAGGTGAGGTCTCACAAGAACAGAGTAAAGGGGCAGGACCACCTCCTTCGACCTGCTGGTCATGCTCCTTTTGATGCAGCCCAGGACACAGTTGGCTTTCTGGGCTGCAAGCGCACACTGAAGCTGGCTCATGTTCATTTTCTCATCAACCAACACCCTCAAGTCCTTCTCTGCAGGGCTGCTCTGAATCTCTTCTCTGCCCAACCTGTAGCTGTGCCTGGGATTGCTCCGACCCCGGTGTAGCACCTTGCATTTGGCATGGTTAAACTTCATGAGGTTGGCATCAGCCCACCTCACAAGTGTGTCAAGGTCCCTCTGGATGGCATTCCTTCCCTCCAGCGTATCAACCGAACCGCACAGCTTGGTGTCATCGGCAAACTTGCTGAGGGCGCACTCAATCCCACTGTCCATGTCACCGACAAAGATGTTAAACAAGACCGGTCCCAACACCGATCCCTGAGGGACACCACTCGTTACTGGTCTCCAACTGGACATTGAGCCATTGACCACAACTCTTTGTGTGCGGCCATCCAACCAGTTCTTTATCCATCGAGTGGTCTATCCATCAAATTGATGTCTCTCCAATTTAGAGACAAGGATGTCGTGTGGGACAGTGTCGAACACTTTGCGCAAGTCCAGGTAGATGACATCAACTGCTCTACCCCTGTCATCAGTTCTGTAGCCCCATCATAGAAGGCCACCAAATTGGTCAGGCAGGATTTCCCCTTAGTGAAGCCATGCTGGCTGTCACCAAGCACCTTGTTTTTCATGTGCCTTAGCATGCCTTCCAGGAGAATCTGCTCCAAGATTTTGCCAGGCACAGAGGTGAGACTGACTGGTCTGTAATTCCCCAGGTCATCCATTTTCCCCTTCTTGAAAATGGGGGTTATATTTCCCTTTTTCCAGTCGTCGGGAACTTCACCTGACTGCCATGATTAATAGTCCTGAATTCTCCCCTCCCAACCCCCTTGCCTCCTATTTTTTAATAAAAATTATCACAAACATGGAGGGCAAAATATGACATGCTCCACCTCCCAACTCCCAGTTCCTTATTGGAAGCAATATTTGAAAAAGAGTTGTTGTGTACTGTGTTTTCATCCAGCCTAGGAGCCTGAGGTAGGGGACAGAAGAGAGAGTTAGTATGAAATCCTCCTGGAAATGCATTCCATATCCACGATTGCTATCAAACAAGCTTTATTTCTGCTGCTGATTTTCATGCAAAATATGTAAGAAGTAAGGTAAGCCCTATAGCAAGTTTTAGTTTGTCCACACTGGAAATTGTATATAGGAGCAGTGGAAAGAGTTTAAAGAATACTGGGTCAATTTTAAGTGCTGGGGTGAAAGGAGAAATGTACATTTTCAAAGCTTTTCCCCTTTACCAGACAGTGCTGGTATGGGTTACGATGCCAAACTAAGGAGATCTTCCTTGTATCTTCTTCAATTTAATAAATCTCCCATAATTTACCTTTAGATATGAGACATAGTTCCATAGCTGGATATAAAAACTCAGTACAGTGGCAGGTTCTATACTCCAGTACAAAAATGCTAAGAAGCACAAATAACAGATTTGTCCCTCCCATCTCAGCTGGGAAATGCTAGAATTCAGTTTTTTAAAAAAACACCACATGTACTGCTCCTGTATCTCAGAGTGGACAGAACTGGGACAGGGCCAAAAGAAAGTAATGAAAATGCTGCATTATGCTGAAATGCTGCAATGAAAGACCAGAGAGAATTTAAAGTTTTATCCCTCTCACCAGAAAATGAAAGCATGAGGCCCTACAGGCAGGACATTAGTATGGCAGACCCTGGATGATCTATGGGTGGAAAGAGGAGAAAAAATATGACAACATCTTATCTCTATGGTTATGAACTACATTTATCTGGTGGGAAATATCTATTAGCAAGTAACTTCCTAAAAGTCTCTACAGGCAATTTATGTCATTGGAAGTATTAAATCTATAATTATTGCAATAAATAAAACAGTCTAGGAAACTACAAACATAATGTGTGACTCATTTTGTTCTGTGATTTGCACTGCTGTATTCTTGGGCACTAACTCAATGGAAGCCATCAAAAAGTTGTTGAAAATACAAACAGAAAAGTTAATGCAGTTGCTCAGATAAAGAGCATTCCCTCAAACACAGCTCTCAGATTTAGAGACCCAGAAGAGACTCTTTAGTCCCTTCCAAAATGACATAGCTGTTTTGCCAAGCCTGAAGGGATGAATTAAAAAAAAACCACAAACAAAAGTGTAGGGGAGTTAGACCTAATGTTTAGAAGAAGGAAGATGTAGACGGCACTCTAAACTAATGTGGGCACTGAGACCATTGCAGGCTATTCATCCCATCTCATAGATGGACAATAATCTGGAGACATCTGAGCTATGAAAGAGAGAGGCCAAGGACCCCAGGTTCCAGTATAGGTTGGGGAACGACCTGCTAGAGAGCAGTGTAGGGGAGAGGGACCTGGGGGTCCTAGTGGACGACAGGATGACCATGAGCCAACACTGTGCCCTTGTGGCTAAGAAGGCCAATGGCATCCTGGGGTGTATTAGAAGGGCGGTGGTTAGTAGGTCGAGAGAGGTCCTCCTTCCCCTCTACTCTGCCCTGGTGAGACCCCATCTGGAATATTGTGTCCAGTTCTGGGCCCCTCAGTTCAAGAAGGACAGGGAGCTGCTGGAGAGAGTCCAGCGCAGGGCAACCAAGATGATTAAGGGAGTGGAGCATCTCCCTTATGAGGAAAGACTGAGGGAGCTGAGTCTCTATAGTTTAGAGAAGAGGAGACTGAGGGGTGACCTTATTAGTGTCTATAAATATATAAAGGGGGAATGTCACGAGGATGGAGCCAGGCTCTACTCAGTGGCAAACAATGATAGGACAAGGGGTAATGGGTACAAACTGGAACACAAGAGGTTCCACTTAAACTTGAGAAGGAACTTCTTCTCAGTGAGGGTGACGGAACACTGGAACAGGCTGCCCAGGGAGGTTGTGGAGTCTCCTTCCCTGGAGACTTTCAAAGCCCGCCTGGACACATTCCTGTGTAACATTATCTAGGTGTTCCTGCTCCGGCAGGGGGATTGGACTAGATGATCTTTTGAGGTCCCTTCCAATCTCTAGCATACTGTGATACTGTGATACTGTGACTGAAACAAAATGCACGCATGGGGTGTAGTTTGTAGATATGATGACTGCATACCTTATTCAATCTATTTGATACTTCAACATATCCAAGGTAAAAGATCCATTGTTTTAAAGTAACTTTTTTTACTCATTTTAGCCAGCTGCTGTCAAAGGGAAAGCCACATGAAGCCCAATCCATGTTAGACCAGTGGTCTCTAAATGGTGAAATTGAGGAGCTAGAATCCAGTTTACAGCTGGTTTCAGAGACCTAAAGAATTTCTTGAGAGCTGTAAGAGGTGAAGTGCTGAAGCCTCACACTGCTGAGGTGTAGGCAGAGAAATACAAGAAAGAAAAATGTAGCTGACCTGGTAAACATACTACACATACAGCACATGTACAGAACACCTCTATATAGCTCTTCACTCAGATTAATTTTCAAGTGCTTTAAACAATGTATCTGCTAGCACACACCAGTAGTGTATAAAGGCTTCACAGCCAACACTAAACATTTGGGTCAGATTCAGCATTTGTCTCTTCTTTGAATAACCATCTCACAGAAATCTTTCTTATAATCAAACGGGAGTTCGGTACCTTTTTGCAGTCCCAGCAGAACCTGCTTTTATAGCACAGCTTTACCAGGATGCTGAATACAGCCTCTTAGCTGGTCAAGCTGGAGCCATGCTTCCAAGAAGGGGAGCCTGCAGCATGCATGCAGCATGCAGTAATGCATTGGACTTGTGTCCCTGGGTGAAATGCCTTAGAAATTTTGAATTGGTTTGATTCCATATGTAGTTTTGAAAGACATTCTCAACCTCTTGCTTGCTTCAAGTATGAATTGGGTGGAATTTGATACTCTTCTTTGCTTGCTTACTCAAATAAACTGAAAAAAATTCTGAAGTATATTTCAGGGTATGAGACACCTGAAAATGACCTCAATTAATATGCAATAGGTGAGCAGTCAGGCACTGTGTTACAAAATTTCATCACTACTACTCTTGGGTGTCTAAAAGATACAAACTGTGCTTTCTTGCTCCTTGATCTAGGGAATATGAATAGAATATCTTTGAATCTCCTGTCTTACAGTCCCAACCGTGCAAATAATAGTGACTATAACAGCTCTCTCTGGGAATCCATAAACTTACGTCAGGAGGTCTACTCAAGGTAATAACCACTTGTAAGATGAAGCCTTACAAAGAGTACGGAGAAAGGACCGCAGGTGTTGGTAACACACCTCTTCTTCCTTTCAACACACACAGAAGGTGATGTTGAACAGCACCACCTTCCTTAGTTGGCCAGTTATACTGAAATTCCATTTATAAATGGTTTGGAAAGAATTAATAAATAGTAAAGCATGCTACAAACATGAGAAGTAAACGTTACTGGTGCTAATAAGCTTTCTCAGTATGTACCTTCTAAATAAGCTTTTGCTGTAGTCTGTAGTGATCTATTACAATGTTTTTATTAAATCATTTATTAATTATTCTCCTTCTGTTAATTATTTATAAATGGAACTTTAACTTGAAGCGTGACTGCATTCCTAGTTGTATCTGTGACCTCTATTGAAAATAAAGAGCTTTGAAGATGTATCTGTCTATAGGGCCACCTGTTCACCTCTTAAGAAAACATACATTAAAAAGAGAGGGAATACCCAGCATTTTTTTTAATGACACAGACGGGATTCAGCTTCATCTTAAAAAAAAAAGGAAGAAAAAAAGGATAAATTAGGATCAAAATTAACTGAAGAGTACCAAACAGATACAAAAAGTGCTAAACAGAGAAGGGGGGTTAATTCTCAGAAGGTGTCCTGGTATGTGCACAGTCTGAGGATAATTCTCTGTGCCCACAGACACTGAAACACAGAGACAAACAAGAGAACTGAAAAGAACCCAAAAGTAAATTATACGGAGTGTGACTCCAACATATAGCATACAAACACGCACAAAAGCACCAAAAATGCTTCTTCCCACATCTCTCTCTCTTTCTCCCTGCTGTAAAGCCTCAGTCACTGAAGTGTATAAGCCAGCATTGTATTTGTGAAGAGCAAATGAAATGTTTCTCTACAAGATACAACAGGTCCCGAAACAGGAAAAATCCAAAACTAGAGCTTACCCCAATGGATCAGCACTCGCCATCCTCGGAAAGGGAAAATGAAGAGAGAAGGAGAGAGACAGAGAGAGGGATGTGGAGGCAGGTGGAAAGAAGAGTAGGAAAAGCAGAGTGAAATACTGTTAGGAGTACTGAACGGTCATAATTATAGCCACTGGTGCCCATGTCTTCAGAGACCAGGAACACTAGGGGGACAGTTGCATTTACCAGAAAATAACTTTTGTCCTGCTTACAGTATTGCAGACACATCCAACTTTGGCACTGGGGAGTATGGAGAGGGACATACGAAAGCTGCAAAAAAAGAAAATCCCAGCCAAATCCCAATTAAAGCAGTCAGCAGAGCAATGGGGTCCATACTTCATGATGCATTTCTTTTCTGCCTCTTAGATAAGGCAGAGTTCTTATCAGACTGTTATCAAGGAAATTGTTCTTTTTGTCCCCAGTTTGCTCAGTGTAGTGTCCCTCTGTCCCCCAAGCTGGCCTGGTAAGAAGTACTTAATTTTTTTTTTTTTGCCACGAATGAACTGTGAAACATATTGGTTATTAAAGCATGCATTTCTGAGCCAGCTTGGGAGCCCAGGGTACAGGATTGTAGCTCAAGCTGTGAATCTGCTTTGATACTGGCTTATTAGTCATGATGGCCTTATAGTCAGGAATTCAGATCAGCTAGAACATACCAGCTCAGCAACCCAGTACTTATCTCTGTGGATGCCATCTTATGCTCCAGGATCTCATTTTTCATTTGAAATAAATTCAGTCTCTGGGTCTTAAAGGTTGCAAAGAAAACCTTTCAAATGTGAATGGAGAATAAATCAATGCTGTGCTGAAAAGAGTCTGAAACAGCAGCTCTAAAAGCAGAATAAATCTCTGGCATATTGACTTTGAAGCCTAGTGACAAAAACTTCAGTATTCTTAATTTTCCACTACTAACCAAAGCATTCAAGATCAAAAAGAACAGTCAGGTTATTAAGTTTTCAGGTGTGCAAGTAAACAAACTCAGGAAAGTGTCACCACCTTTTCACATTAATTTAGATTAGATTAGGAACAAACAAACAAAATAATCTGGTGTTATTAAGCCAAATTATTTTCAAGTCAGATGCAGCACTTTTTTTTTTGTCTCTGTTTCTTTCTCTCTCTCATTCTCCCCATTTTCAATAACAGGCTCCCAAGCTGCCAAAGCTACCCCTGGCTGGGTGAGGAAAATCCATTCTCCACAAGACAGTCACCAACAGAAATGCCAAATTTAATATATGCCCAGTAGATTTCACAGTTTACTGCTCAGTGCAACTAGCCATGCTTCTGGTTACATCAACATTGCAAATGCTGGGCTGGGCGACGCAAGGCAGTTTTGAGAAAAGTTAAAATTAAAACATAGTTAGAATAGAAAGAAAAAGCTGTTTTGCTACAGATTGACAGAGAAGTGGAAAGAAGCATTACAGTAAGTTTTTTTTCATGTGTTTGAGTGACACTCCATTTGTATTTCAGCCCGGAGTGCAAATTTGGGAAACATCTAATTCATATATATATACAAATACATGTATATGTATATATTTAGGGACAAACGCTGTCCTCAATTGTGCCTGTACAAATCTATCTACAGTGATGTAACTGAGAAGAGCAAATTGACACCCATTGCATACTGGAACATGTGTGTATATTTACACAGAAAATACACCCATATTCACACATGAAGAATATTAAAATGTAAATAGAATGGGTGCAAGAAGGTTGTTTCATTTTTCTTTCAAGTCATTTTCCCGACAGGGGAGGCACTGAAGAGGTTAACAAAGAGAATGAAAAGCAAATCAACAGTCGGGTAAAGGAAAAGGGAATGAGGTTTAAAAAAAATGAACAATCCCAGGACACAATAGACCCAGAAGCGCAGACATGTGCATTCCCTACTATACTGAAGCAAGTGAACTACGGAGCTGCAGCAACCCAGATACAGAAGAAGAGAAGCACTGAAAGAGGGGGTGAAAGTCAGAAAGAAAGAAAAAGAAAAAGAAAGGGACAGTGGCCTCAGCTACTAAGACAACCATGTGCATCTAGAGGGAAGGGACCCTTAAAGATGCAGTATTCCTTTAAAAAAGACATCATAAAGTTGGGTAATTGAACACTGGCCAAAAATTTAATGGCCACCATGATTAGCTAACCCCATTTTGCTGGGGTTCTCTTTGCTGCCTATCAATTCCTTTTATGTGTCCATGCACAGATCCAGAATCCAGGTCCTCTTGCTTTCCCACCACTGAGGTCCTTCATCTAACTCTTAGAAGTGGGAGGGAGGTAAGACCACAGAAAATGTGATCCTCCAAAAATGAGCTTGGTCCTTCAATGAGAAGGACCCTGGCTGATGCTCGTTCAGTGCTCTAACCTCCTCCTGCTGTACTCTGAAAAATATCACCTTTGAGAGGGAACACAAAATGCCCATGTGTATTTAAGAAATTCCCTCAGTGGTTACTGAAAGGCTGTTTCTTCTGCTCTTAACACAGCTGTAGCAGTTGCTAGAGAAAGAGGGACAATGAATGGCACTGGAAAAATCTGCTGAAAGACCCTTCTTCTGTCACAAACAAAATTTCTGCACTTCTCTTATGGGACCTGACTTTTAATTACTGTGGAAAAGCTCATCTTCAGAGTAGCTTCAGACTGACTTCTAATGCAAGAAATGCGGGTTCAAGAACAGAATTTTTAAGGGGAATCAGAGAAAGGAACAGGAATTCCCATGTCTATAGTAACAGTCTAGGACAGCCCAGTCACTAAAGACTATAACCACTACTTCTTCATGGCTGCAACACTTAGAGGTTTCTAATAGTTCAAGTCCAGTGTTTGTTCCTATCTTATCTTGGGTGCTTTATGCAATACATAAGGCACAACCTCTCCTGCAGGTGCATGAAGTTCTTCATTATGGCAGGTTTGAGAGTTGAAATGCTGGCTACCCAGGACTGCCTCAGCCTGCAAAAGGCCAAAACAGGGGCTGTCCCTCACACATTAAGTCTCCTGAGGTTTAAAGGTCACACGTATCTTTAAATACAAAGATTTTTATTAAAAGGGAAAACAGGAAGAAGAATGGTTTGCCAAGTCCACAGGTTCCTTTACAGAACCCACTGTTTCCCCCTTTTTGAATCATACAGAACACTCTTAACCTTTGAGTAAGCTAAGAGTTTGTCCAAAATGTATAAGGATTACATTTTGATGAAGAATTATCCAATTAGGATGCCAGTTTTTAACATTAGAGAAAAATTCTCTTTTTCTAAGACTGAAATTTTAGGAATAAGATGTTCACTAAAAGCCTTCCCAAAAGTCTAAACATTTTTGTTTGTTTGTTTATGGATCCACATGAGTCCAGTTAAACTCCCTAAATCTAGTGGCCTGCATGTCTTCCATTGTGCCTCTATTCACAGTTGTGAGTTATCCTTTTTGTTATTCTTCACCATCTGCCACTTGAACTCCTAGACTGGAATTATCCTCCAAAAACTCTGATCATCTTTTCCTCCTGTGCTCTCTGATGCAGCCAGGGTAGTCTTAAGGAGTTTGTCTCTTAGCTGCAGGGACTTAATATTTTGCTCAGACAGGATTTCCAAAGTTTCCTACCATTGTTGTCACTAAATCAGTTGTGTTGCTATTTCTAGTGCTGGGGGTGGAGCACTGTGGGCTTTCCTAGTGTTTTATATTCCAAAGCAGTCTTAGCAAGTATGTCTTCTACCCTGGGCATGCTCACTCATGGCAGAACTGAACCAGAAGTAGCAGTAGGATGAAATTTTAGTGGAGAAAACACTGGTACAGTCACAGTGTATTGTGTGTCTCACAGGCTGCATTGGGGATAGCCTCAAATGAATGGTACTGTACAAAAATATGTATAGTGTGGGGCTGTAAATATTCTACCTTCTTTCTTTCTCTCTAAAGAGAGAACAGCTATGTCCGCACACAGAGAAGGTAAGTACTGCATCTTTAAGGTCTCAGCAGTGAGGTAGAGGAGAGGAACATATTGTCAGTGTTTATACCTTTCTTCTTTGTTGAATTTGGGATTGGCTTCAGAGATATCCAGGCTTTTACTGAACATTGTTTTACTATGGCAGGAACAAAGCGAGAAAACAGAGTTACTAGTGTGGACATTTATAAAAGAGAGTCACCTGAAGCAATGCTGGACACCCGGCCCCCCAGCCCATCCTCCCCTTTTAAGCAATACTTTGAAAAACCTCTTTTACTTTCCAACTTGGCTCAAGCCAAGTTCATTATCTCCCCCTGACTTATGAGGTCTTAAGATGACTTCCCCCATGCATACTTGTAATCCCTGCTCTCCTTTACCCAACCAAAGTATCATCTACTTTGTCACATTGTCCAGGGAAAACAGACCATGCCTGAAGGCCCAAATTGCAAAGCACTCATTACTCAGACTTTTCTAGAAGACCTCAACACTAACCACAATCTGGGAGAAAAGGTTAAAATTGAACCATAGAGCCTCCTAGAGGAACAGTAATCCATTCTGTATTCTGATATGTAGGGTCCATTACCACTTACTCCCAGTAATATTCCCTACACTCCCTGCACAGAGAAATGCCCTTCTTTATAATTTTGGGTCCAAATCCCTGAAGCTTAGAAGCAAAGTTCCCTAGACTTTGCAGAAGGGCAGCTCTCTGTAATATATTTCCCTGGTAATATCCTTCACTGTTTCATAAAACACTGCTTTCTAATGTTAGCTGATCTTTCATGCAAGCTACCCACTTCAATAACCAGAAGAAAATGAATAGCGAATGAAGCCCATTTTAGAACAGTTTTTGGATTCTCACAGCAGAGCTGTTGAAAATTTCTGGCATACCTCTGACAGATTCTAGCTCCCATGGAATTCTTTCTAGTCTGTGTGATTTTGGCAAAAGGGACAAATTAGCTGGTGTTAAAACTAAGCTCAGAAGCTACCTCTTTTCTTTTGACTTTTCAACAAAATACCAGATAGTTTGAGAGGTGTGGATACCACAAAAGCAGAAGCAATTAAGATGTAATTATGAACTCATATACTTGACAACAGGGAAAACCGGGAATTTTAGGCTGGCTGGTGTTTGTGCATACTAACTTTGCCATATACAAAGACCCAATGGAGAGGTCAGCACAAACATTTCAAGGAGTTTGTAAGCTCAACAAGCAGCCTTTGTGCTGAGTTCTGCATCTCCGTTATCCAAAAGTAAGTCACTGAAGGTCTATGTTTTTCACTAATACTTTCTCAGCCTGTAGGGCTGAAGACTGCCAAGTTTCAAACCTCAGTGGAAAGATACGCCCTTAAACAAGCCAACACTAGACACATGTAATGTCCCCACATGCTTACCAAAAGCACAGTTCATCACACAGACACATAAACCAGAGGTTATAACATAAATCCCTGTTATGCAAGCAAACACCTATTTACTACTTGGAAAGAGGACAATAGGGCTAAATTACAGGACACATGGGTGTGTTCTGCCCACTGGTTAGACATGTATGACAGCTCAAGAAAGAAGCAATGGCTCTGTGTCTTTGGATGTTTACACAAGTCATCTGTGTCTAAACAGAAGACCTGTTCCTATGGTCCACCTCCCTGTCTTCCTAGTGTTGTAGGATAACAGCGCTTAATAGTCATCTGTTGAGACCAAAATTGTCACTCTTAAAAAAGCATCCATCTCTGGGATCTAAACCCGACTGCTGTAAAATCCACTGTCAGTAGGTTATTTCATGGAATATAGCATGCAACTAGCCATTAAAAATTCCCACTCTTGGTGGAAGGCACTTGTTTTGTTACTGACTGTTCTGACAGATGGTAACACATCAGCAATGCATCGTTCCCAGACAACCCCCATGCAGTGGTGTTCATTAATGAAGCCAGTTCAACTTACAAATGACTGTACTGCCAGCAACACAAAATGTGCTGTTGTCGTCTGTGGATGTGGATGGTATGAATTATGGAAGCTCACACATGGAGTAAAATAACATCTTCCCTTTAACCCCTTCCAAAACAAGTACTACCAAGCCCATCACCATCAGTAAGGGTGTTATTACATCCTTTTCTCCACCCTTAATCACACCTTTATGTCCAGCTCTGAGCTGTGGTATGCATTGTCCTGTATCTCTTTTGTGCCTGGCAGGTTTTGCTTCATCCTTAAGCCAAAGCCCTTCTTTATTGACATGTAGCCTGAGTCTGTCTTTGCTCTGAACTCACCTCAGACCTTTTGACTTCAATTGTACCCTCATGTGCAGAACTGAGTGAGACATTTAAAACCAAAAGTTAACCAAACTTTGGATAGCAAGACACAGCTTTGCTTCTCTGGATGTTTGAATCCAAAGTCAAAGCTGAGAGCTGGAAGAAATGGTTTCTGCTCTTGGAAAACTTTGGGATCAATCTAACACCTCCTGTTTGGAGCACTGTCTGGCCCTGGCAGCTTCATGACCCATGCACCTTCCAGGCACAAGATTAAATACTGCAAGCTGAATAAGGAGTGAGCAACTGTTTGCCTGTATTGTGGTCATCCTCATCACAGTGAGGCCCATGAATAACACTGAGCACGCCTTGTTCTGAACACTTCCTTTGCCCAGATTTCACACCAAAGCAACCTATATATTTAAGACAGGTTTCTAACCTACACTACAATGAAAAATCTTTATGGCAGTGCATCTCAAGGCCACATATCCAAGTCTGAATTAAATCCTAGCAGATTCTGCAAATCACCATTTTTCCCTCACTGTAGATAAAACTGAAACAGTTGCCCCCAAAACTTTCCAGCAATTCTAGGGGCCTCTGGACATAAAATTATTTCCTTTCTTCATCCAGTTCTCAGTCAGCAAAGGGAGTTTCTGGGCACAGAAGGCTCTTTTTGAGCAGATCTTTGCAGCTGAACAAAAAAATCATGTCATAAAGATGAAACAGAAGTTACAGCATCATCATCATACATTTATGTGAAGTGTTCTTTTATACTGATTGATTTATGCAAGTGTGAATCCAAATGCGTATGCTTCCCTTAGGCTAGTCATAGGGACTGAGGAAGCAGCTTCCATGGTTCACATAGGTGGACTTCCACAGTTTGCCTACTCTCCTTGCTTGAGAAGATATCATTTTCCTCTGCTGTTTCTCCACAAAACTGACAATTTTTTTTGATAGAAAAGAGCCAAAATTATACATATTCCATTACTTGACAGGCACGTGATAATTTGTTTGGGTCAGATGCATGCTGGCTCTGACAGCGTATTTTAGAGGCATCTTCAAGTTCCTGGACAGGGCTTTCCAGATTCAAGCTGTTCTGATGACATGGAGGGTGGGGTTCATTTCATTTAACTTTGGGTGCCCAAAAGCTAGGTACCTAGTCCAAGACTAGATTCCTGTTGTAGGCTGTGAAGACAGAGAGGAACAACCAAAGGGTAATTTATCTTAAGATTGTTAGAACAGAGGACATATGTATCTGAGACCTTCCAAAGCCCTCATCTGTCCCCACTACCTAGAGTGACAGCCTGTATCACAAGCTTAGACTGAATGCCTACGTTCTTGACAATTAAAAAGAGGTGAGATGAATCTTGTCCAGAGGATGTAGTGGTTTCCTGAGCAAAAGCTGTAAGCAAACGGAACCCTGAAGCCCCTGGAAAGACTGCTGGCCCTGTGTGCATAAGCGCTGCTGGCTGTCACATCATGTTGCAAATGTGTTTGGAAGTTGCAATGAGTGCTGGTGCAAACAGAATAGCTCCGCAGCTCTTTTGTATGTATAACATAAAAGGGAGGAGCAAACCCAGACAGGCAGGACTCCTGCGTAAAGCAGAGACCCACCTCTGTCCATGTTGTGCCATTTCAATAGCTCTGCGAGCAGGGACTGGGGAGCCGCCATCTGTCACACTGAGAACCTCCATCGACTTCCTTTCTGGACGCCGCTTCCCATGCCTGTTCAGCATTGGGGAGTCCACACGCTTCCTGGGAGGATCTTTAGGAAAAGAAAACACAGTCAGCTGAATTCGGCTGTGAGTTACCTCACACAGGATGGTCAAATCCTCTCCCAGCAATCTCACTCTCACAGCTCCCCTTACAGAGACAGGTATCATTGAAATGGAGCTGAACATTTGCAGTCTCTCCCTTCTTCCAAATTTGCAAACATTAAGACATAAGTTGCAATCCATCTACAGAGAGAAGGAGCACTGCAACTGCCCTGAATGTACAAGCACTGCAAAATAAAGGTACAACTATAGCACAGGTTGCAGAAATTACTTTGCAAAGATGATAAGAGTAATAACACAATGATGCCATAGGCATCACAGTACAAGCTGTTAGCCAGAGTATAAGCCATCTAGGGATCCTATATATATACTCAGGTTGCTACACCTTGCCTTTGATGTCCCTGCTAGCAAAATTAAATGTGACAAAGGCACATGAGTATACTATCAACTCAAAATTGCATTCTCCTCTGAAAATATATCCTTTTTTGCATCTTTAAGATTAGATTTCATGTTTTGCCTGCTGCTTTATATTTTTCCTCCTGCAACGTTACAAATTAAACATACTTGTCTATCTGGGATGAATCTCCAATAAGAGCTACTAAAATTTATTTCAGAGGTCATCTGAAAGCTTTTACTGATATAGTAACTGAAATGCTTTACACTTTTTATTGTGTAACATTTCTGAGAGGTATTGAAATGCTACTTTGACTTTGCACATTGAAAACTGAGGTATAAGAATGAGGTAAGTCAGTTCATTCTTAAAGTTGCTGGCAAACATTTATTGAGGTTCTGAGGAGCACCTAAATTGCTCTGAAAAGAGTTCTTTGACACCAAACTGCACTGCAGAAGGTGACTTGCCAAACCAAACCAATCCCATGGTGAAGCAGAGAACCAAATGCAGACCTGCTAAGATATTTTATTACTAACATATCTCATGGCATCAAAACAGTAAAGAGGAGGAAGACAGAAGAAAAATATAGAAGGATTTTCTTTTCTTTGGTAGGGCTATTCCACCATTCCACTTAAAGACAAATTTCTAATTTTAGTGAAGAGTCACCACTTGTAAAAAAATGCATCCTTCACCCCTGCATTTAGAAAGAAGCTCACAGTGCCCAGCCCCTAAGGCTTCATCCTCTGCCAGGACTGCTCTGAAAAAACAGAAATACCACAGACATAGTCTGATAGTATTATTTTTATTACCCTGCCCTCCTCCTCCCCTCATCTACTTGCTTGTTTCTTCTCTCTCACATCACGCTTTTTAGAACAAGATTCTCTTTAAAGCAGTGCTTATTCTTGAAACAATGAGCATGAGCAAAGACAGCTCAAATGCAAATAGGTAGTAATAACAACTGACCCCATTACCGTATAACTCATGTTCATTGAATTAATAGTAATAATGTTCCTATTAAAAAATAATTAGAAAAAAAGCAGTTGCACCTCATTCCATTTCAAACTATGTCCAGTAATAAAACATTAGCAGAAAATACTAGTAGATGCAATGACCTTCAGATTTCCTCCAGGAAAAATACATAGTGTGTAAAGTTAAGGGAAAAACAAAGCGAGATAAAGCTAATAAACCACAAGCAAGTGGTCAGAAGTAAGCTGGGACAAGGTTTAGACATTTCAGACTCTTATTTCTTCAAACAAATCCAAAGTATGAGAAAGGATTTACCTCACAGGACAACTGCTGATATCAGAAGTATGACTGGAGCCAAGTAACACACATGATGACAAAGCAAATACGTTTAGTATCCATGACAGGGTTTTGCAGATGAATATTAGCATTAGAAATGAAGGTGGAAGAGTGCAGTTTAAAACAAAGGAAAAAGAAGACGGAAGAAGAAAGATTAAGAAAGCAGCTAATGTCAAAAGAATGGAGATGAGTAAACTAAGACTGCATCAATGTTAGTTAATAATAGAGTACAGACAAGAAAGCTGGATACAGGCAAGAAAACCAACTTATGAATAGATATTTTAAAAGGCAATTTGATCTAGGCATGTTCAAACCAGAAGACTTTAGTAAAAGGAAATTCAGCTGAATGACACTTTCAAAAGTGACAGGCCAAATATAAGGTGGACATTAAAAGACAGTGAAGAAGAAATTCAAAGAAAAATTAGCTAAAGACTTGAATAATATCAAGCTATCAGAAAGCTTGAGAGGATAGCAGCCAGAAGATGGAATCAAAAGAACAATTAAGGAGGAGGATATCACTAACAAGCTAAATGGTTCTTTAATGTCAGTCCCTGCTGCTAAATATGCTGGAAGATACTGATTTCTAATCTATATTTTAAACTATCAAAGAGAGAGAATAAGCAAAAAGAGCAGGTAGTTAAAAGCAGCTATAAATTCAATAACAGCACTTCAGAAAAGTTTTATGGAAAATACATCCAGAAGCTTGCATGAGTGTGGCTGAGCTGCTACCAAAGATATATGATTCTTCTTTAAAATTGGCCACAATTCTACAGTACACATGGCTGAGAGTAGCAAGTATATTTTTCAAACATATTCTTTAAAAGGGTCAGAGTAAGAAATGACAGGGCACGGAGTCTGTCATCTTATCAAATGTAAAGACACTAAAGAAATAGTTAAATACACGGCCATCCTGCCATAAAGACTAAAGTGGTGTCATATAAAAATAGTAGGATATTTTGTGGAAGGACAAGAATTAAAAATAGGAAAAGCTCCAGTGTTTGCTCTTTCTCTGCAAATATTTCACATGGGGGGAAAAAAATCAAGTCCTAGTCTGGATCTGTGATAGCTGTGAGGATGAATTTTCCTTTTATTTCACATCCAAAAAGTGAAGTCATTCCTAAGGATTTTTATGGAGGGAAAGAGAATTGTATGGGTAATGATCCAATTATAAAGGCATTCAACTGGAAGATGGGAAACAAAGGTTCAAATTCTGAGTTTGAATGAGGCACCTACATCCTATATGGCTGTTCCATCCCAATCTTTTGTTCTCCAGTTTATTAAGAAGCTGCACCCCACAAAAGCTTTTTCTTCAAGAAGACATTAGATGACATTCATTCATTTACTGAGAAGTTTCTCATTTCTGTGTTTTCAGGTAAAGAAAATGAGCTGGACTTGGAATATGCTGAAGGTGGCCCTTCCCTGGCCCTTTAAGAATACTTCACATAGCTGAAAACAGACAAAAGGGACATCAGAGGAGAGCGCTAGTCTGAGCTGGCCATATTTTTACCTGCATCCATCCTTTCTGAGACCTAACATGCAAAGAAAGATGAAAAAGCAAAAAACTCTGAGATACTTTTTTTTTTCCCTTTTTTTCTTTTTTTGGCAAGAGCTCAGGCAGTGCACAACTCTCATGAATGTGGTTTCTTCAAGCTGCTGTTACTAACTGTTACTTTTTCTCTGCTATTCTTTGTGCAAGGCCACTGCTAATGGCTGATGACGAGATATTCATCAAAAGCATGAGTGCTCTTTAATTAAACTTGCCCCATGCTCTCAGAGATACCACTGGGAACACAGGAGGTAGAAGTCCCCTGTGGAAGAGAAAACACAACCTACAAACACATAAAGAATATCGCTTAAAGAGTCTAAAATGTGCCGATGATACATTCAGAGTGGTGTTTCCCTGTTGGGTTCATTTTCTTTCTTTGTACAAAGAAATACAAGAGTGGAGCATAATAGTTCAAACCATCAAAATACTTTGGCATGTGGAAGAGAGATATATGATATATTTAGGGTATAGCTACATATTCACTTATATGCTGGATATGAAGATTCTAGAGTCACCTTGCTTCTCATGAAAAAAAACATTTCTAAGCCAAGATGATGGTGTCTTTATATGGCAGGATAATCTGTTTGAGTCAAAAGCTGATCAGTAAAGTGCTAGATGACAAACTGCACTGAGCAAGGGGACACAGGACCTAGAGTTGGGGTATCTACCTATCTTCATCAGGACCCCTGCTAACATGTTCTCTCTAGCCCCAACCAGGTAAGAGTTTAAAAATTATGTGTTAACTAAGAATTTCCATCTCTTCTCCCACAGAAAATATTTCTCTGCAAAATTATAGGGCCTGGAGCCTGGAACTTGGATAAGGTAATAATTCAACAGAGTATTAATAAACTTACAATTCCATATACTACTGCCCTGTAGACTTGGGAGATTCCAGGCTTTCCAGTGAAAATAAAGAGCACTTTGCTTCTAGCCTTCAAAGTGCTGAAATAAAATAGCTGAAAATCACAACACTATTAAATGTAAAATATAATAAATGTAAATATAAAATGTAAATATAAAATGCAAAATATAGTAAAAATGCTGTTTCATGTCATTGATAGAAGTGACTAATCTTTTATCAGTTACACTTTTGACACTCTGCAGAGCAAGAGTCACTTATATAGTTAGGGAAGCATCTTATGTGTTATCTAGATTAATGAAGTCCTTGCTCATCTGCAGTACCCTAAAATACTAATGAACAGTTCTTCAGGAATAAAGTGGTATCACAAAAGCTTTTTAAGATATATAATCTTAGTGCATATTAAGCTTTTAAAATCTTTCTAAGACGGTCCAAACACACAAGTTTGATGTACATACTATAAACAGGTGATGCTATTTATACTTTCAACAGTGTATATGTTTACCTACAGAAAAGAGAAAGTGTGCACATATAACTTCATTGGGATACAATATTACACAGTCTTATTAGCTGAAAGCCAGAGGTAGGATTTCTGCAATACTGAATGTAGATTATTAATTAGGAAATCCTGCCACTAGATTATACCACTTCTAAACCTTATCTACTTCCAGAGAACCAGCTTGCGCGTTCATGTGATATATTTGAAATCAAGACCAACTTGGATGTTTCCGCACTGTGAGACAGCCATGTCCTAAAAAATTTAGCCTTTGTGTTTAACCACACAACAGACCTGCCTGCCTCAGGCTGAAGATGCTCACCAATTCTGTACACCATTCCAGTGAGAAGGTAACAGTGGTGCTAAGGTTTGGGTATATATTTCAAAAAAAAAAAGGTGAAAAGGAATTAGTTGAGATAGGTTCATGGTGGCAGAGATCATATCTGGAGTACCTATTTCATTTCTAGGGGGAAGATCCTCATCTTCATGACTAGGATATCTCTCCTTCCGGTCAAGCAGAAGAAAATAAATCATTTTTTCTTGGTTTTCTCTGAAAAAAAAACAAACAAACTTTAAATTTGAAGAGGGAAAAAAAACAACCCAAACCCACAACAAAACATCAACATGCAGATGAAGCCTTCTCATCAGTTACAGTTATTGTGAATAACCTCGTCACGGTCATGAACGTGGCAGCTAGATACATCACCCACAAAGCTTTTGAAAACCTTGCTGTCTCCAACAAGCAGTTAGTGAAAAAGGAAAAATGATTCCCATGTTACACACAAAGAACACAGGCACAAGACAGAAGAGGTAATGTGTCCATAGGAAGTCCAAACTAAGAGTGGTGGCAAGACAGTTCTTCTGAGCCTCTAAGTGCTCTTTCCACTACATGTCTCTCTTAACACCTCAGGAAATACACCAGCTCTCAGGAGGCTTGAAATAAACACAGATTTGCCAACAATGGCATACCCAACACAAACCACAGCAACAAAACATCCCCATCTGGACCGCCCATCTTTTAATGAAGTTACCTTGCCTCACAGCAGGAGAAGTGACAGCACCATGCCCCCAAGGCTTCTGACACCTGGTGCAAGAAAGGCTCAGTACTTGCTCCCAACAACTCACTAGTAAATGAGTAGCCAGAGGGCAAGAAGTTGCTACTGGTCCCTCACAGTGAGAGACATTAGTTGAAGTGCTACCTCTCCCCAGGTTTATAAGCATCCCAGCCCACGGACACGCAACTGTTAGGAAGACTGAGCAAGTGCTTACTCTTCTGACAACAAGTCCTGTAAGAGTTTATTTCGGTCACGGAAGCAGCCTAAAGAGTGCATGCTATCTAACACATCTGGATCAATATCCTCCAAGGAAGGGAGAGAACGAATCTGCACCTTTCGAGGGATTGGTTGCTCTGGTTCTGGCTCATTCTTACCCCCTCTGCAGAGGAAAGAAGACGAGAGAGAGAAAGGGGGCAGGGAAAGAAGGAGAGAAAAGAAACATGAGTTACAAATGAACCCATACTCTGAAACACAGCCTGCAGCAACAGATGGAAATAGCTTGTTAAATTCCCACTGAGTGACCAGAGCTCCCAACCAGACAGACAATCTTCTCAGAAGAAACTGCCATGAAAGCTAAGAGTGACCAGTACCTTGTGGATTTGGGTCTTTAATGAGAAATGTCCGCATTCAGTCAGAAAGGCAGTAGGAACTTCACTTACCAGTGCACTCATAGTTAAAGCAGCTGTTAAGCATCCTAATGCCAAGCATTCATAAAACACTACAAGGTTTTAGAGATGGTGTCCCATCAGCAGCGAGACATCAGGCTATCATGCTGAAAAGTACAATCCGAATGGTTCTCTTTCAAAGAAGGAGCTGTTAACAAACCTTCACTATTTTGCACCAATCGTGATTACAGCTGGCATTGCAGCAGTTTCTTTCTTTAAAGCTTCCAACATGACTGAAAGACCTCATGTTCAGGTCCCAGCTTGACACACTTTAAAGGGTTTTTGAGGAAACTGCCCTGCTTATTTACATGCCCAAATACAACGATCTGCTTCTTTTCAGACACACAAATTTGAAAATTGTGGCTCAGGTCTAAGTCCCAAGGTGAGTGGCAGACCTTGGAATACACAATTAGCCGTAGAGCATATTACTCTCTCAAAAGCAGTAACACAGGCTTCCTGCACAACTACCTCATCCTATTCACTAGGCTCAGGAAATACTAATTATTAGTTGAAATTAAAGGCCCTGACTGTAAAAAACCGATCAAAGTGTCAGGGTCTCTATAATTGACTGAATGATATATATTGCAGGCACCCTGAATACCCTTTGATTTTGTTTAGGTAGGTAGTGAGCAATTTATGTAAACTCTATCTACCCAAAGAGGTGGGTTTGGCAGTAGTGGTATTCTGGTTGGAGCAACTGTCTACCCTGAGTCTTTGCGATTTCTCAATGGATGCTTTGTGTGATATTAAGGTTTTCATACTCTCTGGGTAAGGTCCTCCCTTTCGATGTTGAGGATTTCCTACTCTGTGGGTAAGCTTCTCCCTTTTCTTTCTGTGATATAAATGTGTGACTGTTGGGTCCAAGATCCCAGGATGGGCAACAGGAATCTAGAATATTTAAATTGCACCAGCTGCAAGTATTTGCTGTTTATAGGGATGTGTGTGGGCAAGAGATTCTTCCTTTAGATGCTAACAGAAATATGGTTAAAACTTGTGAACTTACTTGTACAGCTTAAAATGTTCTGGGCTCAGATGTGAACTATCCAAGCACCTACACAGAAAAAGGAGCTCCAAATAAAATGCCCCTAAGTTTTTATTGGGTAGGTTAGAAAGAAACCCTGGTAGGATCATACACGAGCTTGAGGTCTCAGCTAGTTCACCAAAATTAGAGTCAATGCAGATTATCTCCTCTGAGGTAAAAAGGTAAAAGTCATTGCAGCAAGGGCTCTGATGCTAGCACAGAGCAGTTACATGCCATCACAGGAGACTGCTAGATGCTACTTGCAATTTATTTTTAAACAAGTTGAAATGGACCTGTGAGGCATCTGCTCTGTTAAGCATGTCTGTGGGACATCACTTGCAGACTCTTCAGGAATTTTCATTTTATCTTCTCTTGAAGCAGTGAAAATGTGCTCATCCCCTTCTGGATACATGTCATGGAGTCACTCTGGTGTGCATTACATGGGTCATGACAATATGGGTCAGATCCCACTTCTCTTACACTGAGCACTCACACATCCTGCTCATTTTTACTCAGTTTAGGATGCTGGAAGCAGAATATACAGGACAGAGGAAGAATCTCCACCTTGACATTCGTTCTTGTGTTTCAAACCACTAAAATGGAGCTTCTGATACCCTCCTGGAGTCTCACAGAAGTGTCTGTGTCTTCTGCAATGACAGCATTGTCCTGAATTAAACGGCTAGATTAAGAAATTCTTGTTCAACTAAAGAAACATCTTATTCCTTGAGTGCCCTGTTGTTAAGAGGTAGCTGTTCCTACCTCTTAGCATCAGGATCTATCTCTCTGGAGGTAATAAGCAATGATTAGATCATAACCTTGTTCTATTAAAGCCAATGATGACCTTGTCATTAAGATAAATTCTTGCAGGATAGACTTTTGAACAGCAGCTGAGTGTTTTTGGTTTTTAATCATCTGCAGTTCACTTCTAAAAAGTATTGACTTAATTAATCACTCATTATGTTACAAGCAGATGTCCTTAAGATAATTGAAAGAGATTAAAAAGAACTATTGTTTTTGGAAATATTCAGAAAATCTGGCTTTCCTACTAGAGGACCACATCTATAGCAGAATATCACCTGCAAACTTCTTTTGTATCAGTCAGCATGGGAGCCAATTTTCTAGAGAGCACAGCTTGCCATCTTCTGTGCACTGAGAAGTAGCTTTTCCTTACACCCTGCACCTGGTCAGCTTCAGACACAGTCAGGAATTTTCACACCTCCTCATCAGGTACAAGTGAAATCTGCAAAGTGCCTTGTCATTTGGCAACTCAATTCAGTGCTTCAGGAAGTGAAAACCACCAGGTCTGGGCTGTGATTGGCATGACTGTATTGCCTGTTCCATTCCCAGTCTAGCATAAAGTGACAAATCTGTTGCATTTGTTGCCCACATAGACGTCAACCAGTGTCACACGATGAATACTGCAAATCACGTATATTTTTTTAAAGGCCTGCATGAATGTAATTGCTGCTTTAAAACCCACCCTCTTTTGTGAGGATCGGTGCATACAATGGCTGTGATTCCAGACCAGAGCAGACTTTTTCAGTCTCTCCAGGAAATCTGCTGGTGAATCAAACCAAGATGCACATTTGCATCAGTGCAAAGCAAAGCAGAACTGGTACAGTTATGTTTTTTTTTTCCTGATTTTAGTAAATTTGGTACCTTCACAATTAGGGCAATAACTCAGTGTTACAGCAGTATGTATTTAACATAATAGCTAATTTTGCCCTCTTGCTTTATTAAAAAAGTTAGAATAGCTGCTGTTTATTTGCTGATTTATGATAACCTATGCTTGAGTTAAAAAAGAACTATTTCAATTAAACAGTCTTAAAAACCCTCACTGAATTAATTTGGGTGGAAGAGCAAGAAGAACTGGAGGTTGGTGATGAAAGGTTTCTCTCTGGTTTCTTTTCCTTTTTTTAGGCTTGTGAATCATGATTTCAACTTTCAAGACCTGTTCCTCTGTCTGCCTAGTCTCAAATATAATCTTTTCCTGGGCTTTACAATAGCCTTAATATTTATCTGAAAAATTAAGTGAAATCACTTATATGTTCTGAGTACAACTTTCAGGTCAGTAACCTATATATGATGAAGAATGGAGATTACATAGCATAGTGGTGTTACATGTAATAAAGAAAAAATGAAAGATGTGAGCAAACAGCCTCATAGTAAAACACTTATAACCCCTCCTTCTCAGTCAGCATCACTATTTCCAAGCAAAATTAATGCAGAGAGGCTGTGAAACATTACCAGATGAAAGTAGTTGAGTTTTGGAGGTGGCAGGGTTATTCACAGACTAAATTTAGCCAAAACAGATTAACCTCCTTAGGTCAATCCAAGACCAGTACAGAGAAAATGACAGAGAAAGTCATTAAAAAAGCTGTTTTGAACAGAAATTTTGTTTCAGGCAAACTGAGTATACTTCTGGGAGAGCCTTCCTCTCTATGTACTGACTACACTGGGAATTTAGGGGAGAGCTGCTTTTGCAAAACTCAGTTTCTGAAAAAAGCTCCAGATGCTATTTCCATTGGGGTAGAAAACCGTTTACTGTGTCAATCATCAGAAAATCTGACCTTCATTGAGAAGTACACTAAAATGTTCAAACACGTCTGCAAAGAAAATAAATCTTCAAATTCTAAATCTCGAATAAAGTCATGAAATAACACCTGCCTAATTGTGCATGTGAGCCTGGGACAGCAGTCTTCTGACAGGTGAAAACTTCCATGCAAAAATCTTGAGGAGGGTTAGAGTAATAATGTAAGTGCTCAATAACATTTCATTTTATTTCCTGTTCCAGTTCTTATCAAAGCCCAGAGAAAGTCAACTCCATGAAGAAACAGAGGTGATCAACTGTCCAGACTGATGTAAACAGCATTTACTTCTGCAATTGCTAATAAGACATAACAGGAGGGGGATTTCAGCGATTACAATTAGAGATTTCCCCCCCTCCATTTCTCCTTCATTTTTCCATGAGAGTTTAAAAATAAATTGATACTGCAGCAAACAACACTCCAGTCCTCCTTTGTTTTAAAAAGGTGGCATGCCTGGTAACTGTAGGGAGCATGAAAAAGCCACGGGCCGAGTGCTGCCACCATTTCAGGTGAACTAAGAAAAAAACATGTTATTCAACAAACTGTTGAATGCCCTCAGGTCCTATCGAAGTCAGGTAAATCCAGAAGTGAACACTGCCCATAAGACAGAGAAAACAAAAGAAATCAAAACCAAAGGTGTTTGGGTTTGTTTTTTTTTTCAGTTGGTGACAGGCTTAAATGCTTGTTCGTATCATCCTCAAGTATTTCACAAGAGCCTAATGATAGGATTAGGAAGGCAGGACTTTTCTTATCACCCACCTGGGGAACCTATAACTATGCTGACCCTGAGAAACATGTATCAAAGCATCATCTACTTGTTTAATATGTGAAGTATTCTCCCTAGTTTGATTAAGTTATCAGCACATAAAAAAATGTCATTTACTTAGGTTCCTTGAAATACCATTAAAGCTACACAAAGTGCAAGGTCATTTTTAAAAGCTATCAATCTTCCTTATACCCAAACCACTAGACAGGCACGTGGTTTTCTCAGAGACCTCCTGTTTCACTGTCAAGACTGCTGCTTTTAATCAAGTAACATAACTACTCTCACATCAACAGGTTACAAGGTCAGAAGCAGCCTCTTAGCTTGCTGCAAAGAAGAAGGAGTAGGGATTAAGACAGAAAAGCTCTTGCTCACAGGTGCGTACATACAAATATCATACTTTTTGTTTCTACTTCAGAGAAAAGACACAAAGAAACAAATGAAAGCTTTCTTGTCAAGAAGGTATTACAAGGGATTGTCTGTAGTACTTGGATAGCAACCTAAATATGTCTGGCAGTTGGGGGGGGGCGGGGTTGCTGATGACTTGTAGGTATCTTTTGAATACAGCAGGTTGCTGGACTGAAGATCTTATTTCAAACAATTGTTAGCCACCGTATAAAAAGTTCCTGGCTTGATATAGATACACATGACATTCTGTGAGTAGCAAAGGGAAAAAAAAAACAGCAAAAGATTAGATGCCTTTCTGTCCTCTGCCCCCTTCTTCACCTGTGTGAAAGCTGCTTTCAAACTCCAGTTCCTTTCCTCAGAGATCACTAGAATATCAGCTCCCATAACAGAACCAGTAATGAATGCATGCAAAAGTGAATTTAAAAAGTGTTACTTACATATACCATATGTGTTTCTGAATATGTTCTAGCTGTAAAGTAAAAGAAAACAAGGAATTAGTGCCATGAAACAGAAAAAACAAATCCACAAGACATTCTTGTTCAAGGCTTATTCAATTAAGCCTAACATTGCATAGGTGGATCTGTGCAAAGAACAGGAAATTTATGCTGCAAGAAAAAGCATGCTTATCCTCATCCAACCCAGTGGAAATGAGGTTACAATTCTGGACGTAAGGAATCAGACAGGAGCAAATCTCAGCAAAATGCTTATGTACAAAGCTTCACAGGAAGTGTCTTGGCAATTCTTCCAAAGTAAGTTTGCTTTAGAACTTTGGTAAGTTCTTCCCTTCCTAAGCCCTTCCTTCTATAACCTAACTGAAGCCAACAAACTGCTCCTTTCTGTATGTGCATAATGGCTGAATCCTTACCCCTGAAGTTCATTTCTAGTTTTGTTCTGGAAAAAGAGAGTGAGAGAAGGAAATAGAAATGGGTTCAAGCAAAAATGTCAATAAACAAAATAAATTGTGCATGTGTGATATGACCTTCTGCCAGCACCCATTCTTGATAAGCTTCATGTTTATCATTCAAATCTAAAGACAAAGTAGAGTAAGTTGCTATGCAATGAAGGACTGATCAAAACTGAACAGCAGCCTTGTTCACCTATGGAAAGCAGATCTCAGAAAATGTTACAAGATGACCATGTTTTCCACAAGCATGGGGAAAATAAAGTTACATTGTTTTTCCATGAGAAACTCTTCACAGTAGAGATAACAAACTATTCATATGACAATCTTACAGCAGAACCTTCCTAACTTGGGTTTTCAGCATCATTACAGTAGAAAAGAACTTTTCATAGATGATGAGGGCCTTTTCATTATGTGGACAACATTTCTCATGTTCTTCGTTATGAAGAACCTTCGTATGTGCAGAACAATATGCACACTCACTGCACACAGGTTTGTGTTGTGCAGCATGCAGGTGAAAGGAAGGGGAGAACTGGAAGGAAACTCCACTGCTAATAGCTATGAGATGAAATCACAGACCCATTAAACTGGTGAGGAAGAACAGAGACAGCTGTCCTGCTCTTCCTACTTTCCAATTCTATTCCAGATTACTGAGAATCAGAGAGGGGGGGAAAGAGAAAAAAAAGACCAAGAAAAAAAAAGGAGGAACAGACAAACAGACAAACAGACAAACAACAAAACCTCAGAGATAGAAAGTAGGTATTTGCCACAGAGAAAAAGGAATCAGAGACCTCTGTGCTATGGAACAATAGCTTCACGTCTGGGAAACCAGGGAGATCTGAGGTCAGCTCTATATGAGATCATTTTTTAAGTGAGACAAGGCTTTTTCTGAAAACAACAAAACAACAGAATGCAGCTTAGGAAAGCATGAAAAGAGACTGGAGGGATCACTATGAGAGACAAACAGCCTCCTTTAGAACCAGGAAAGAACATATCAACACTGCAATCAGAGGTGGAGTTGGTACTTGCATATCTAGCTGTCTTCTAGCCAGCTGAGGTGCTGGGAGCACCAGTGCCCCCCAGAATGCACATCCGTGGGCCCAGGCAGACTTGCACTGCTTCCAGCTGTGGCCTCAGCTCTGCCACAATAATTCCCCCTCATCACAATTCCCCGTGCATTAGGTACTCCTTTCATCTCTGCTGATTCAGAGAAAACTCCAGGAACAAACTTGCCAACAAAGTTTTCAAGCTGACAAGCAGGTATTCTTTATTGCGGCGCCAGGCGACATGGGGGATAGCTCCTCCTAATGTGTGTCTATTAAGAGAAAGGTTGAGTATTCCCAACACACTGCCATTTCCCTTGACCATCTTAACCCGAGATAAGATACACATTATGGGTGTTCCCCTAACAAGCCTGGAGACACTGTCCTCTGCCTTTTGGTTTTTCTGCAAGCTGAGGTACAAATGGAACATGAGAAGAGCATATTTTATGCAGTTTCCATGGGACAGGATTTTAGCATGGTTACTTATCAGGTCCATAGTACTGTAAGGATGTTCTAAGAAGTGTACTGTACCTCCTCTGCTTGGTAAAACCACCCTAAGAGATGCATATCTACTCGTTGTTTCTTATATACCACATGGAGGGTTAGTGACATTAATGATTTCAGACAAGATGCAGATGATACAGCTAAGCTATGTCCGAGACTCTTTCATGCTTGTTTCTCCTGCTGCATTTTCTGTCTCCATGGGTCACGTTGTTCTTTTGTGCCTGTGATATCCAGAAATGCCATGGTGAAGCAGACAACAGCACTTCATTTTCTGAGTCCAGAGAGGGGGAAGAAAGGAGGGTCACCAGTTCATGTCTTAAGTCACAGAACCTCTGGGCTTCTTCAGCAGAGATGTCAAAGAGAAACCCTTTCTGCCCACCCCTGCTGATCAACCTCCTTCAAGGTATTGAACCCACAGCATTTTTCTGAAAGAGAAGCCCCATAGCACCTTGATATACATTTGAAGGTGTATGAGAGCTCTCATGGCTGCTGTTTATCTACACATCTGCCATTCAATTCACATCAAAACCACTGCTGGGAAGTACACTGGGATATCCCAGATATGAAAAGTATTCTATGAAACCGATTTCTATGCTGATTCAAACGTAATTGCATTGAAATGTTATTACAAGTGTGCTTGCTGCTGCCAACATCTTCACTGCTTTTTTAAAGGTAATTAATTAATGCTTTGTTGCTTTTCGTCTGCATTAAAGTGACAGGAGGGTTATGGGAGGGCGACTGGTTTTGACAAGGAGAAGTCTGTATGCTTTTTACTATGCAATGCAGGGGAGGGAGATACACAGTGGGAGCTAATCTTACTCCTCCTGCCTTCATTTAAACACAATGTTTAAATGCATTTAAGTGACAAAGGCATTTAACATCCCTTCCCAGAGGGTTCTTCTTGCTGTTTGCATATGAGTGCCAAATTTAATACCATTTTGTGGAAGCTGTAAAAATACTGCCTCCTAATATCTTCTAGTCATTGCAGGCAACTGTCTCATGACGCTGTCTCTAAAACAAAAAAACATGCTCAGATCCTTTGCATGTGCACAGTCACAGGAGAGACTTCTCAAAGCTAAAATGCTGTAATGGAAGGAGAGGGGGAATTCCTGTATCATGGTTTTATGTAAAAATATTTCCAGTATATATTAAACTTGTGTACTGAAGTAGCATTTAGGAACCCCACTCGCAGATGAGAGATCCATTGTGATACAGAGCTGTACAAGCTCATCTGAAAAAGAGGTCTCCTCCCCCAAGTAGCTTACGTCTGAATTTTAAGGCAGGGAACAACAGATGGAGACAGACAGGCAGATGGAAAACAAGACAGTGCTGTCTACATCCTCGGCACTGATCTCAGCAGAGCAGTTGCCAAACTAAAAAGTTCTGACCTGAAGAAAAACTTTCTCAAAGTCTGTGGATATGGATGAGGGCTTCTGGGCTTGAACTCATGTCAAGTTTCAAATTTCCCTGTCCAGAAGGGGAACAGTCTCAACCCCATCTGTGCACTAAATCAACCCACACCTCTGATGAATCTTCTTCATTCAGAAGATCCTCTAGTCTGAGTCTGAAACCTACTGTAATGTCAAGATAGAGGCTTTTCTTGACCAAAGGGTTCATGCTGGCAGTGCAAACAGCACTGGCAAAACCATTATCTGTGTCAGCAGTAGCAGCAGTAATATAGGAGCCTCATGGGGCCTTGACAAGGGCAGGTATCACTGTGCTACGTGCACAGTGCATGAATAGGTCCTTGGCAGCCAAAAGCTTACAGCCTAAATACATCAACTGGACAATTACCTCCACCCTACCAGTGGTGCAGTGCGATAATTTAAATGATGTGATAGGTGCCTTACCATACGACCTTCTGGAAAAAATTAAAAAGGAGTCAGATGAGGTTTCCCTCATTTTTTAGATGCTGTGGCCCACCATTAGCATACCCTAGACCCCCCCAAAAAAATCAAACAGGGAGCACAGAAGAGATTCTGAAAATGTGTGTAATTTAAATTGGATAATATTCAGAGACGGGTATTTCAGACTACGTGGAAGACAAGTCAATCTACTCTGGAATAAAATGTCAACACTGGAACAATAATAGCTTTATCAGAATAGTTTATTCTGCAGTATCTCCTCTGATCCACCTTGCTCTCAGACAAAGTTTCAATACCGCTCATCCATCTTTAAAAGGAACGTGGACCAAAAGCTCATTACTCTCCTGCCTTCGTATTTCTGTAGAAGAAAATATTGTCTGAGAACACAAATGGATTCCACTACAGGAGCTGTAATTCTCTGCTGTAGAGATGCTGAATCACTTGAAACCTCCAAGGGAAAAAAACATTCACTTTCTGAAGAGCACATAACTAAAAGAAACCTTATCCTGCAGTACTGCAGGTACCAAGAGGACTCATTCTCTTCCATAAACCTTCTGAAACTTAAAACTAGTTAATTTTTCCCTCCTGACATTACTACTAGAAACCTGTTGCAGATCTCCACTAATATAGCTAATATGCTTTTTCTAATTTCTAGCCTAATTCCATGTAAGGCCATTTGACATACATTTGTTTTTGAGCCAGTATCTTCCTTTAGTTTAAATAATCCTTCCCTTCTCAGTTATTACCTCTAATAAATATGCAGACAGACAGTACAACCTTTCTTGACATCATATGTTTAGATTAAGTGGAGCTCTTTTAGGCTGTGCTATTCAGACAGGCTGTCTCAAATGCTGACCACCTCAGTACTTATCCTTTGTTTGGTTTCATCTTTCCTGAATATGGGTGGTCAGAAATATCATGGCCAGCAGCTAGGATCAACCTGTGCAGTCTACTGAAAGAAAGACATGGATTCTTTCATTTTAAAGCATGTGTAGTAAAACAGGCTTAGTAAACAAGAGCGGTCAAGGACATCCGACTAACCATACCCGAGGCTACGTAATATACGGTGAGAGTGAACAATATTCCACTAAGACATAATAAAGTCTTCTTTCCATAAATGAATCATATACAAAGAAAGGTAAGACCTATTTCTCAAGGCAGGAAAGGGCCAGCAACAGTAATGCTGAATATCCCTTTCTCCATTAAACCTCCCAAGCTCAAACACTGAAGCCGAATGATGACAGTTAAATGAGAATGCTAGTTCTGTTTTTGTTGATCATTTTAACAGATGGACTGGGGAAGGTGTGGGTGTGCTGTGAAATGGCAATTACTGCAGGGAGGGAAATGCAGTTGGGTGAAAAGGAAAAGAGATACAAATAATAATAATAATAATAAAGGAACAAAGCAGAGAAGGGAAGAATGAAAGAAAAAAATTCTAGTGACCTTACATTTCATTGTATTTTTGTGCTCAATTGAACAGCGAGATATTGAGCAAATGATCAGTAGTATTAACAGCTACATCTGTATGTATTGTACCCAAGCCACAAATTCGCTCACATCTTTATAAAAATATCAAATTGATTCAAGTGAGATATTTTCTAGGAATAGAGGCTTCCATATAAACCCATATTTATACCCTTTTTCTTAGGACACAGCTAAAATAGAATTCAGATCTCTCCTCAAAATGAACTAAGTATTCCTAGCTCCTGTGCAGTAAACAAAGAGCTCCCTTCTGCCTAGCAATCTCAGCAAACAGCACACTAACAGCATAAAAGTGTGACGACAGTAGGGACAGCAAACTGAGAACCTAAAATAATAAAAATAAGATTGCAGCTAATAACAAAGCCCTACCCATTTTTCCTCCCAGCTCTCAGCTCTTGAATATGTATGATTTCAAATTCTTATTCACAATTTACTGGTTAATGCTTTTCAATAACTATCAGACCTGTTTTTTTTTGCCTCCCTAAGGAAATAACAGATTAATTTTGATAAAGAAAAGGGGGGGTGGGGTGTGTGTGCGTGTGTCACTCTGGGACCCGGATTTACCTTAACTGTTTTCTCTCTTAATCGTGTACATTCTCTGCTCTATTGCACAATTCAAAATGCTTAGGGACTATGCTCTGTGTAAAAACTCAGAACAGTCTGAAGAAGATCCAACACCTGATGATCTGCTCCCTGGCATACTCAAACCATCTCAGTGATCTCTGTGAGGAAAAAAACCCAACAAAACCATCAGAAAAAATGTTTACATTATAGAAAGGAAACTAACCTAGAAAGGGACTCTGTGACTTTTCAGCTGCCTCGCATGTCTGGGTATAGCTTTAACCTTTGCAGTGTTCATTCCATGAAAATACTTCGAAAAATATTCTTTCTTTCAAAATCAGTTTTAAAAAAAACACTCTTAAAGTGCTTAGTATTTATTTTCCTCAATCACTGCTACTTTATGTACAGCAAACATGATGACTACTGGGTTTGCAAAAGCAGGGATATAAGTAAGAGCATGAAGAACTTTTCACCTACGTCACCAAACAGAGCACATATTTCTTTCATTTCATAATGAATGAAAGAAAAACCCAGCTGCAGCTGTCAGGTAATGCTGTAAAGAAAGTTGTAGAGGGAGTTTCAGCTGCAGACAGATGTCTGCATCTCATCACAGCTGGCACAGACTGATGCTGTTGTTAGCAATCTCAGTAGAGAAGACAACCAGTGATCTGAGAGTTTATTTATAAATATTTTAGCAGACTAAAGAACCAGGAGGAGTTTTAAATTTACATTTCTTTATACATACACCCACTCAGAATCTGTGAGCTCAGTAAATCTGTATAAAATCATCACTATAGCCTGACAATAGGATTTACAAGGGCAATGTACCCATAAAGGCAGACGCCTCCACTGACAAGCAGGCAATCTTGCTTTCCAAAATGATTTTAATTGCTAATTTTTTTTTTTTTAATTCCCCCAAACATTAAACCCAGGGTTAATGAAGGATACAACTACTATACAGTGCTCACCCTTGCAAGGTCTCTATTGCAGTGATGGCATGTATCCTATCTGAAAAGAGTCAGTGCCGAGTACCAGGAGCTCAACACTGTGGACCTAATTGTGCTCAGGACCACAGGGCACAAGATGAAAGAGCAGACAGGAAGACACTTGCTCTGAAGTCTGCTAGAGGATAATGCAGAGCAAATACAGGATACAATACAATGCAGGGTGCATGGCATGAAGCGAGAAGCCATCACTTTTGTCAGAAGTGTAAGAAAGGCATACTTCATATAATAACAAAGCTTCAAATAACTGTCCTAAGTAACAATTTTGACTTTCAAACAGTTATATCATGTGCCTGACAAACTGCTGTACCAGGCAGGAGAGCCAGACAACTCTGGTGGACTCCAAAATGTGCTAATGGGTCAGTAGCACTGTGATGAAGTTACGAGGGATTTCCTCTAAATGACGGAGATTTATGGGCTAGAGAAGAGACATAAAGGTAGTCTCCCCTCACAGTTCAAAAGAGAAGGTAATTAACTTCTTCCCAAAGACTTCACCAACTCCACTCATTCTTTGCTCTGGAGGAAACATGTAAGAGCAGCAGTAAACCAATGAGTTACCTTAGTTATTCAACCACAGCTGCTACAAGGTGAACAAATGAAGCCTTGCTCACATGACTCACAGCAAATGCCTTCTTACCGTGAGACGTTTCGAGGCATCCACTTCAATCATCCCCCGCAAAAGGTTCTGACAATCTGGGGGGATAAAATGTGGCATGTGGAACACTCCACGTTTCACCTTCTCCAACAGTTGCCGCAAGTTGTCATCGTCAAAAGGCAGGGCACCCTGCAGGGATGTGACAGTGTGGATGGCGGAGATCAGCAAAAGGGAATTGGAAAGGGCAAAAGGAGAAAAGCCAGGATAAACATGGTGAGAGAATAGAAAAGAAGAAGTCAGCTCATAGTGAATTATTATATACATGAAAAAAAACTTTTTATCCACTGAAAATAAATTATTTCGTAGTGCTGCAGTATTTTCTCCAACATAGGAAACAAAACTGAGGACACAGCTTTTTTATTGGACCTTTAATTAGAAAATGACCACTAGTATAAAATACAATACAAAATATGAAATTGTCTTTCCAGGCAAATTCACCAAAGATGCATGAATTCACTTAAATTCAGCTCAAGCTTTTGATCTGCTGGTATTCCTCCTGGGCATACTTTCACAGCAGCAATGTTTATCGTCTCCTTATTTTTAACCTTTCTAAGACACATTTGTTACACACATTGAAAAGGAGGTGAACATCATTTGAGAGACTTTCAGTAAAGAACACTCTTTCTGATGAGGCAGTGAAATGACACAGCTGAAAAAAATCCTAACCAACATTAGCCTTTGGAAGCAGCAGACGTTCTACCTGTTTAATATACCTCATCTAGTTCCCATGCTGTGGTCAGGTCATCAGTTCCTATTGCTTCCCTACTGTACCTCACTTACATGAATGGCTTGAGGTTTTTTTAGCTGAAACTACATTTTGAATAGATCATCAGCTTGCCACAAAAAGCAGCAAAAGACCTATCCTTGCTGCAAGGATAAAAAGGAAAAAAAGAAGTTGAAATCTTTAGGATAACTCCACCAACTGAAGCTCATACCCTTTTATAGCAAGTCTGCACCTTCCTAGATATTCTCACTTCCTTTTTCACTGCCTAGTTCTAGGAGGTGCCGAGCTTCCTTGATTTCCAGGATGGATTGTGGGAAGCTGCAAGCTGTCAGCTGCTGTGATTATGAAGCTCTAAGTTGTCAGTTCTGGCACTGCTCTTACTACAGTGAGTAGTGCATCTGTATAAGCAATTCTGTATCTATGGGTTACAGAGACAACAGCTCCACAGAACCCTCAGAAAGCCCACCTGATGGCAACTGCAACTGGGCACTATTTACTGTTGTTTGTTCATTCAAGCATTCCTGAAGAGAGCCGCCCTGTCTTCAGTAACCAATCTCCTGCTACCTACATTTTTCCTAACTATTCCAGACTTCAAGGAGAATCAATTCTCATAGTTCAGTACTTTGGCTAATGCAACTTAAGCCATGATGAAGTCAGTAAGGATGCTTTGTGTCATTTCCTGAAGGTAACAACTACATGTCTTTTATTACTACTACTTGCTATTATAGCATGAGACTTTTTGTAGGGTTTGTCCTGACATAATTAACTGGAGAGCTCTGCACTCTCCATCAATAATAGCCTTATTTCAATCATTTTGCAGGCTTATGTGTATATGTAGGAACAGATGAAGTTGCAGCAACAAATACCAAATCTTGATAGAGAATCCCCCTGAAAATGAAAAGCCTGCTCATACAAATCCCACCCATCTTGACATGTTCTATTCTTACAAATTCAAGAAGTTATGTGAAGAGCTCATTACACAGTTCTGTTTTATCAGCCATGAAAACAGCTGCCCAGGAGCAATAGATGACCAGGTGCAATCTAGTAAGATAAAATTCTTCCCTCAGAACATCAAGATAAAAAATCCCAAACTTCAAAAATATCAGTGAATTGTAATGAAGAAAAATAAAAAAAATGGTAAGCTCGGTTAAGGTGAATTAACGCATTATATTGGTATTTCCTCAAGGTATTTTGACTTGGGCCATTAAAAAAATATCAGCATATTTTTTGGAGGGGAAAAAAAAAAAAGCCTTTAAAATTTCCAAGTACTTTGAACAAAATTAATGTGGAGAATCTAACTCTGTGCATTGTAAAAGTATTTTCATCAAAATAAAACATTAAAGTGAAGTAATTAGGTCCAAATTTGACTCCAGGCTTGTTATTTTTATAATTGTAGATGAGCATATTGAACTACTACAGACATAAAAAACTTAACATGCACATAAAACCTGTTCTCATACACAGTATTCAATCTGCACATGGTATATGCTTATAGGAACATAAAGTATATTTCCCTACATTATACTATGGAAATTGATAACAAATGCCAAGCCTATCTGCCTTCAGCTGGACATCCAGTTGTTGCATTGTTTAGGAGAATTACTTTACCACTTCAAATCAGAATAAATTCCACAGAGAATTGAAACTTTGATCAAAAGAAGGGTAAGTTACAAGATAACACATTTTGAATACTAAAGAAAGTATTACTGAGCCAGATGGAAACTAATTTAAACTTTGTACTACTGGCTCAGTTTTATATTTCCAAGTGTACTAAATTAAAATGTAGTTCAGTACTTGTGTGAAACAAAATGGTTGCACTCAAATCTTGTCTTGATAAAACACTGCAGTTAATGTAAGCGTATACCTACTGAAACACATATACAGCAGAAAAAAAAACAAACACTTCCCAAACCCAGCCACATTTTCATCTTGTGAAGTACAACTTATTTGACACTCTCTGCATCCTGGAGTTGTAACTGTGCACATCCTTTCCAGTCAAAATATGTGCTGTGATATCACAAGACAGCAGAGAGCATTTATGGAGGTAAGGTTTTGATGCTTGTCTATGCTCCCCTGTGCAGGGCAGCAGCATTTCAAAGAAGCAGTGAAATATTCCTCATGCTTTTCCTCTGGGACTGATACAGAAATAAGAGGAAAGGATGCAACTGGGAGATACAAATATAGGCGAACTAAAAAAAAACCCATCTGTACATGATGTCAATAGAATCACCATTAAATACAGCAGCATTTTCAGATTTTTCTTTTCTTGTTAAAGTATGGTGCAAGGAAGATGACTCACCACTAGCAACGCAAATAAAATGACTCCACAGCTCCAGACGTCTGCTTTCCTTCCGTCATATTTTTCTCCCTGTGCAGCAATGACACAGAGGCTCAAAAGACTGCTCGCTAGTAAAAGAATTAATTATCCTTGAAGAACAAAAGAAGGGAGAATGGGAAACCCCACATTTCAGTTCTGCCACCTGCTTCCCAAGGTGGCCTTCCCAGCTAGGAAGCCATGCCACAGCCCATTAATTGAATTTTTTATGAACATCAGTTTACAGTCTTATCTGGGATCTGCGAGAACAGGCTCGGAAGTGGGGAGCAGGGCAGGAACAGTTGACAGCTCACAGATTATTAGACCTGGCACTTAAGCAGTGTCAGAGGTCTATTAAGGACTTTAAGAAGGTGGTTTTTTCTTCCCTGGTTCTTCAGGGAGCTTGTCACCAGTCACATTATTTGTGAACTCAAGGGGAATGTCTGGACAGTTTCTTCTGTACACTTCCTGCTTGGCTTTACATTAAAGATATGTTTTAAAAGAGGGGAATCTTGGTCACTGAAATCTTGGATACTTATTTTCAGAGGACAAAGGGAGAGTAGAGGGAAAGGATACTTCATATCATCTAACGGAAACCAAAATTACTGACAGCCAAACCCAATTCTTCTACTGAAATGACAGCTAGATCAGAGAATACATCCCCGGGTGGAAAGATGAAGTTAAAAGAGGCTACTGTATTTCTGCTTCATCACATGGTACAAAGGGTATTGTGAGAATAATACATGATCATTTCCCTCATACAGCCTATGTAGCTTGACTCAGGTCTGAGCCAAACAAACAAAACTGTAGTTACATTCTTTGTTTCTTTTCCAGTGCTGTCTGCCTTGGACACACTTCCAGCACAGAGGGTCTATCTGCATACTTGCGATGAGTGGTACTTTAAGAAATGCATTTATACACACTAATGTTAACCAACTTACCCGGATGACTTCAGGGCAAGCATAATGTGGTGATCTGAAACACAAAAGACAGTCAAATGAGCATGTTACAGCCTGGTATTTATGGATTACGTGCATTTCCATTTTGTTTAGCAGAATCATGATTGGCTTGCTTATACAGAAAGCAAGTGTTCAAAACCAGCACTTTTTTCCTTACCTCAATGAGAACACATACCTAAGAAACTCAGTAAATGGTCAAGAAATATCGAAACTCAAAATTCTATGTCCCCACTATGAATTTCTTAAAAGCGAGGAAGGAATACCAGGCGTATTCTGTGCCTATACGGAATTCTAGCCCTCAAATCCCACCCTTTAAGTTTGCCTTGCACCTAACTAGAAGGAAGGCCCATGCTGGATAGTCTCTTATAAGAAAAGAGAATAATATTTTCAGACCAACACATACATCCCAGTGTGTCTTGGACCTCTTCTGTTAAGATTGCTCTCAATTACTCCAACAGATATAAAACCTGCCAATACATGATTTCCGCATGCTTTTTTTTATCCTTTAAAAAACTAAAAAGGATGGACAGTAGTGCTATTACCCAGCAAGTTAATATATTCTTTTCGCATCCTTCTACCCATATATCTCTGGTTTGATTCCTGGCTGAGAATTGTTAATTACTTCAGCTTGCCAAGTAATCATTTTAATTCTTAAAGATTATAGCCATGGCTATTTATTTTACAGCCTTCATTAAAGTAACTTGACAAGTAAAAGGGATGCAAACTGTCTGAGACCTGTGTGCAAATTATGCTATTGTTTATACTGACACCTCCCAGCAGTCCCTGAGCCTGCCTTCATTTGTGCATTTGTTTCTTGTGACAAACGCGATCATGGCTGGGCAATACCTGTCTCACAAAGTAATGAGCAAAACAGAAGCACAGTGAGGTTAGCTTTGTGCTAGGATGCTACATTATGACCATTGAGACAGCCTGTTAATTGGATTTCTATGCACACTACACTTATTTTACGGCAAAATATCATCCCATGGGCATGGAACGCCCTGATTTGGTATCGCAGCTTTTGGCAGACAACGATAATAAACTCAGGGTACACTTGAGACTGCAGCTACCTTGAAAGCAAAGTGTAAGCAAGGAGAGAGAAATACAGTTGATCTTTCCCAAATTTTAGGAAAGGTGGAATTCAGAAGTCAAAAACAATATTTAATATATAACTACCAGCCTCCACCTCTCTCCTCCCTCTCTGCTGTTTAAGAGGTTATTACAGGTACTTCTAACCAGGTCTATCTGCTCAGTAGTGATCCCAAGTGTCTTAACTGAGACTGGATTCTGAAAACCTCAAGTGTTAAAACAGGTAATGAAAACCAGAGCCTTCCCTCAGAGAGCTGGCCAAAGTTGTCTCTTGGGAGACCAAAAAGAATGAATTTGTGCCTAGTAGGCAGGACAGATTCCTTGGACTGTCACTGGCAGCCACATGCACATGGACAAGGCTACTTAGTGTTTTTAAAAGCTGCTGCTGGCCACAGTTTGAAAAAGGTTACCAGAACCTCACCATGAGTTCACTCTTCTGACTAAAACAAGAGCAATGCCACCACAGCTTTCATACCTCACAAAAGCTTGTATGACTGAATTAACTTGGATTTTTATAATGCTTTAACCTTTTAGAGCAAAAGCTTCTACAATATAACAAACAGTGTGATGGCAAAAAATACTAAAATAAAACTAAAGCAGTCAGTAATGTTAATAAAGTTGTTGCTTCTTGACGAAGTAGAGTGAGACACCGGATTGCTTAATGTTATGTACGTGTTCCCAACCCTGTAACATATATTGTTCTCTGTAAATCTGCTTCTGTATAGCAATCCAACAGCTACTCTACATCTGTTCTTTTTAATATCCCAAAGCCTTAAATACTAAACAGTCATGTCACTGGACTAATGCATGACTTTACAAGCTTTTAAAAGACAAGTTAAATTATTCTTGTGAGAATGCTTGACTAGTGGTGTTGCCTCTTCATATCATAAAAATGGTGTATAGTATACAGACCATCCTTAAGCTACACAGAAATCAGAATTAAGGAGTAGCACCAGAATTTGGACTGCAACTCACATCTAGACAAGCAGAATTAACTGTCACTATTGCTAGACTGCTTAGACAGAACACAGAAAGAGGGCAGTATGGGAGCTGTAGAGAAGGTAGTAATTTAACCATAATTTGGAAAAAAATTATTAGCGAAAAGAGCATAGGAATTATATCAGATCAGGGACATTCACTCAGTTGAGCCACCTCAGAATAGAAAGACCAGTTCTAGCATGTGCTATATAAGCAAGTCACATGAGTTTTGTTGGAAAACATATCAGGTGGCAACAAAGGAGTGAAGACAGAATCTAGGTAACTGTGACTTAGCATGTCTGAGTTTCTTAGTCTTGCATGCAGTTTAGCTTCAGTTAGGTATGATGTTACCATTGCCTTTCATACAGAAGGTGAGTCACAGAACCAAATAATGCATTAAATGGCTACTGCAGGTGGTGTCTGTGGCTGAGCAAAACCTCTCAAATCCTGCATGGTATCCCATACAGTTCAGGATCCTTTCAGCACAATACTTTTTTGGTGGCCATGTGCCCTGGGTTCAGCAGTAGCAGTCATTTTTTCTCCTTCTTAGTAGCTGGTGCAGTGCTATGGTTTTGACTTTTGGCCTGGGAACAGTGCTGATAGCATTGATGCTTTTACTTACTGCTCAAATGTTTAGTCTGACCTAGGACTTCTGAGTCTCATGCTCTGACAGGGAGGAGGGGAAGCCGGGAGGAAGCAGAGACAGGACACCTGACCCAAACTAGCCAAAGAGGTATTCCACACCACAGCATATCATGCCCAGGATGTAAACTAGGAGTTACATGGAAGGGCTGGCTCACTGCTCGGTCAGGCTGCATATCGACAAGTGTTATCATATTCTCTTCCCTTGTTATTTCCTTTATCATTATTATTATTGGTGGTAGCAGTAGTGATTTGTGTTATACCTTAGTTACTAAACTGTTCTTATCTCAACCTGTGGGAGTTATATTCTTTCGATTCTCCTCCCCGTTCCTCTGGGAGTCGGGGGCGGCGGGGTGGGGGGAAGAAAGAAGGGGGAGTGAGTGAGAGGGCTGCTGCCTGACTTACGGCCTGGGCTTAAACCATGACACCATGCCATCTGTGGTCCACTGGAAGAGTCAGTATCTCAATTTGCAGGGTGCTTCTGAGTATTTATTTGTATATGATGACTCCAATAAAGATTTCAGAACTCTACGAATGTGACTGCTGAGCAAATCAACTACCTTGACAGCTTCCTGTGCTAATATCCTTGAAAAGAAGAATGTGGATGTTGTGAAGAACCCAAGACAGCTGCATTACTGTTTATGCGTACCACTAGCAAATGCACTTTGAGCATTTACCTTCCTTGGGTCAGCTGGAGTGCAGTGGAATCTGCTAGGTTTCTTACAAGCCACCACTGAAATCCTACTAGTATCTGGGAGAATGGGTGGAGAAAATACTATAATAAATCCTGTCAACAAGTTGGGTTGATTTGAGCATTCAACAGCTGCCTTGCATTTGCCCAGAAAGCACAAGTTTTTGGCATAGGAATTTGGCATTGGGAATTCTTGCCAGCACTCAGTAGCTGGGTATCTGCAGCATTATCTTGGCTAAAAGTTCTAGGAGGAATCCTCCGGCCAGCCAGAATCCATAGAAAACTCATTTCCATAATACCAATCACAGAGCAACTTCAACTGCTTTAAAGAGAAAACTGAAATTTAACCAAAAATCTATTTATCTTTCTACGGAGTCATGAATATTTTTTTGGCTCTTATCATTAATTATTCCATATACATGTGTCAAGAATAACACTCCCTGCCTCTTCCCCTAAGCCACCTCCTCATCGTTCAGCTACATTTCTGTACAGCAAAAGCCACAATCTGCCCTTGATAACAAATAAGTATATCGCTCAGCAAGATCAAGAAGCAGTTGCTGCCTGCTGCAAAAAAAAAATCACCAATGTTGGCAGTATTTATTTCAAGGGTGATGTGGATTTTCCAAGGCTAGTCTGCCTGAGGCAGGAAGGGCTCTCTGAATGGTCATTCACAGCTATGACTCTAGGACACTGCAATCTTAAGGATCTCGGGGGACCTGAGCAAAGCATTCATGTAGGATTTCAACCAAAGGAAATAAGCCAGCATGCAATGGTGAAATCCAGGACAACCCTGGACAGGTAAGTTAGGCATTCAGAAAGAAATGTATATATCCTCGCTGCATCTATCTTCAACTTCATCTGAAAAACTAGAAAAGTAGTTTGTTATCTAAGCACATCAACATACAGTGCAGCTACAGTAGATCTGAGATAATCAGAGCCATATCTTCAGTGCAGATGTGATGTGCCTGTGACCTATAGGTCTTACTATGTAGACAAGAGAGTCCTGCACACACAAATCAACTGCCCAAGTATGGTTTATCTGGGAATATACAGTAACTGCTTTTTGAGAAAAGCAGTTGGTTGATCAAGAAGCACAAGGAAAGCTGTGTGATCCTACTCCACTGTGTGACAAATCACGTGTTACACTGCCACTGGGCTCCCAGGTCCCATCAAAGATGACTGTCCATTCCTATGTCCTCTGGTCCCATGCCTTGAGATCGTACTATGTGGGGAAGAAGAGTGTCATTCTTTAGGCCTCACACCTGGATGCAGAGTTTTAAAGAGAGAGTCTCCTTTCCCCTTTTTTTCTTATGCATTAAGTTACCTTGATACAAGAGGTTGTAAAGGTGCAGTGAAAGTTGTGCCACATCTAGCTGTTTTTGTTGTTGCTCTAATGCTAGAGTTCCTACTTCTTTACCCTCCCCTTTCTTCCCACTGTCTCCAAGCTGGCTTTCAGAAACAGAAACTATCCAGTTGTGCAAAAGGCTGCCTGTGCTTTCCCCGCGTGCTGGATAGCAAAGGGTTGAGATGAAGAGAAACACCAGAGTAGCAAAATAGATAAAGGGAATTCTTCAGGAGAAGGACATATGTTAAAGCATCCTAAGTGGAGAAAGCAA